GGAGTTTCTTTTTCCTGGGTTATCGTCTCAACTTCTTCCTTGCTACTCTGTTCTTCTTCCATTCCTATCAGTTGGTCTAGGAAGTCTTGCGCTGTCACTAGACTGTCTATCTTTATTTTTTTTCCTTGCTGCGTAATTAACATTCCTTCTGGCAATGTCTATCTAAATAGAATATTTCTTTTATTTAATTGCATAGCAAGGAAGCGGTAATCTCTTCATAGCTCCCTTACTCTCCCTTACTCTCCTGGGGACTTGTTTCAACGTTATGACCTCTTTCCCCTTGTACATGATCGGTTCTTCTCTGGTTATATTATACAAGATATCACAGACTTTTTTCCTAGTAAATCTAATGTGAACCTCTCTTGGTAACTTGTGTCTTCTGGCATAATTTGTCTGAACCCGTCCAATTCTGTTATTATTTCTTGCTTGTCCCTCTGTAGGGCCTCTGCAATCATTTCTGCCATTATCTGTCCCAGATCTTTCTCTTTCCCTTCAGTTACATTCTGAAATCTCAGGTAAAACACCACCTGATCCATTTCAAATTGTATAATGGAATCTTCAAGTTCTCTGTTCTGGGCCATCAGTTTTTGGTCTACCAGTTTCAATTTCCTTTCATTTTGTCCACTTTGGTTTCTACATTCTTTATTTTTTGTTCATTTTTGTGAATTGAATCTTGAATGTCAATCACTTTGCCATCCAAAGACTGGATATCTATTTTCAGTTCATTATGGTTACTGGACATTTTCTCCTGCATCTTCATTATCGTCTCCTATATTAGTGTTAAGGTGGTTTGCATTGCCTGCATCATTGGGATTACCATGGATTTTTCTGTCTTTGTCAGTCCTTCTGTTGACCTTTAAGTTGAGGGGGATGCCATGGTAATTATTGGGTTTGATGTAGTTTTCTTTCTGGTTTTTAACGCTGTTGTAGAAAGGCTTGTCATTTATTTCAGTATCCTTCTCTGATCTCTCACAATCCTGTCTATATTTTTCCAAACTATCATCCACTATTGTTATCTATTTGTCTTATTCTTGTTTTTCTTATCTTTGCTTATGTTAGTCTATAGTGTCCCACTAAAGATCTTCCAATATTTTAAGCAATTGAGGCTTGTATCTATTAATTTTATGCCTTATATTTTCCTATCTCTTCTATTCTTCTATTTTATTTATTTTAAAGAGACATATATTCACAAATTAAATTAATCAGAGTAATCTTAACAGTAATCTTAAGTCTCTATGCAGTAAAGTCTATATTTAAACATATAAAGAGTAAATTGAATCAATATTAGAATCTATGTTTCAATTGAAATTCAATTAATATTCTAATAAATTATACAGTTGTTATTTAGTAAATTATACTTAGTTAATAATTGACAGTTAACTTCTCAAGTATGTACAACTTAATTAATCACTGAACAGGTAGTATAGAAGGGGGGAGGGGGAGGGGAAAATAGTAAAAGAGAAAGTAATTTATCTTAATAGGTATATTACAAGACACTGTTCAGAGGTTATTCCACGTTGTTATATTAAAGTTTTTTGTTTGCTTGTTTGTTTTCCAATGTACATACAATAATCTTTTTACACGACTTCAGTTCCTTATATTGTTCCAACTATAATTCTTAAATTTCTACTGTCTTTTTAGATTATTTTCAATTTCCTTCTGTCACCACTTTATCCTCTTGGTTTCCATGCAAAAATTAGTTCAAGTATGAGTCCAGCTATCTTATAATAGTCCTTTCTTTCTTTCACAGTTCTAATATTCAATCCTCTTTCTCTATTTGTAATCTACAATGGCGGCTCTTCCTGTTTCTTTTCTTTTCGGTCCCAACCTTGTCCCCTTCTATCTCTCCATGATGCCAATGCTCCTTTCTCTTTGTTATTTACTCATGGATTCCACCGACTTTTCCTCTCTGTGCCTCTGCTGTACCGAGTGCGTTGTTTCTGTCCGATGTTGTCCTGTCAGTTGAAGTTATTCTGCTGATTCATTCTCCATCCGCCCAGTCGCCGCTCGATCTCCTTCCATGAGTCCTCTAATCTGACAGGACCTATCTCACTTCTCCAAATTTCTGTGCCTTTACGGTGTTCTGGTAAAACTCCACTTCTAACACTATCCACTCTGATCTTCTTCTCTCCCCGGCTATTTGTCAGCTTATTGTAGCCTCGAGTCTGCCATTTCAAAATGACAGACACATTCGCGCTGGGTTAACAGAGGCATCCGTTCGAGCGGCAAGCACTCGCCCCACGCTTTGCTGCTCTCCGGACTTCCTTTCTAGTTCGCAATGCCCTCCAGGCTCTTGCGCCCCTAAGGGTCCTCAAAACACGAAGAAATCCGGGGTTGAAGAGCAGGAATCGCTCTCCTTCCACTGTCTCGCCATGAATCACCAACCGGAAGACCACTTGGGGTTTTATCTGTATCCTCAGAGGCACCTGATTCAAAATGCAAATGGGTGTGGAATTTCTTGGGACTACTGAAAGGAATGGAAACAGGAGATAGGTGGTGTCAGTATCCCTTCCCCTCTGTTGAGAAAGGGCTTAACGTACAGTAGATGGCCTCTTTGACACCTCTTTCAAACCAGTGGTCCTCTCTGTCTGGAACTCTGCTGTCTTCAAAAGAATGGACTTTGTCTTTCAGATGTAGATGGATTGACAAATCCTATTCTGACGGGTTTGTTCTCCTGTGTTGTGCCACATATTTGTGGTTGTTTTATTTCCCTAATGTACAGATCTGCATATGTCTCATTGCATTGCACTGCATATACCACATTGTTCAGTTTGTGTCTGGGTGTTTTATACTTGGGGTGGACAAGCTTCTTCCTCAGTGTATTCTTGGTTTAAAATGTGCACGTATGTTATATTGGTTAAAAATCCTTCTGAGCTTTTACGTTATTCCTGCAACGTATGGAATAACAACATTGCTCCATTTGATGTTCTCCTCTTTGTCTGTTATATAGGAACTCCTACTGGATCTTTTAGTAGCTTTGGTGAAAGCCCAGTTGGGATAGCCACAAGTTCTGAGGGCTTCCTTGATGTATTTTTGTTATTTTTCTTTTCCCTTTTTGATGATAGGCAAACCTTCAGCTTGATGGTATAGGGTTCTACTCACTCCCAGTTTGTACTCCAGTGTTTGGTGAGAATCAAAATGTAAATATTGACCTGTTTGTGTGTGTGCATTTTCAGTAAACTTCAGTGTTAAGGTTTCAGTCTTCCATAATACGTACTGCACAGTCCAGGAAGACCATATTCCTTAATATCTTTCCATATGAACTTAATATTTCTGTCCACAGTGTTGTTGTATTTAGTGAAGGCTTCCACTTTCTATGTTTTAATCTTAACCCAAGTATCATCCACATATCTATATGTGGATGGGTAGAATAACTATAAGGGAGTTTAGGGCTTTGTTTTCTACTTCTTTCATGAAGAGATTGGCCACAATGCGGGACCCCATGATGTTCTGATTCAGGTGACTCAGAGGATACAAATAAACTCCCAAGTGGCCTCAAAAATTTTCAGAGAGTTAACAACTGACCCTCAGAGTGCCAGCAACCAGATGACTGCACAAAAATATAAATCCTTCCATTCTCTACCATTCAGTTAGAACTGAAGAAGCTTCTTGGATGAGAAGTAAAACATTTTCAAGGAAAAAAAGCAAGAAAGTCCAGTTGCCTTTTGAAAAAGCACCTATAGGACAACCATGATCTAGATGACTCAAAATCTCCAAAGACATTTGTGATAGAATTTGTGTTTGTTGGAAAACCATAATGGTCTTGGAATCCATTGTGACTAATTAACAAACAATTCTTTATTTTGGTCATAGTTCAGCAGGAAAATAAAGAAATCACAGTTAACTAAAATAAGATACAAAAGAAAGGAATATTACATAAATATTATAGAATGCCTAAAGTATTAAAGGGGCTTAGAAGCAAGTCTATAGTGTCAGGTGGAGATTACTGAATAGTACTTGACAGTAGACAGATGGAGTCAGATTGATGTAATAATAGTATTTTAAGATAAATCAGAATAACCAGGATATTTAATAAAAAGTGGAAACAACAACGCTTGGTATGCTCCTGTGTGACTAATTAAGGAATCTGGGCATGAAGCTGCAACATCTTAATTCTCCAAAGAAAATACAGTCACTGTTCTTTTTTCCCATTGTGCATTCTATTTTTTGTTGGGCGTAGATTGTCTGATACAGAAGTTGAGTTTAGATACCCAAAAGAGGGCAATGGGGAGTAACTTGGGTGGATGACAGAGAGGACAGCATCCTAGTCGTGGATGTGATAAATGGCTTTGTCCTCCTGTCATTGAATGGTGGAGGGACAAAAGAAGGAAGTGTCAGCGTTCCAAGAAATACACCCATAGAAAGCAGATATGGAGTCTTAATCATTTCCTTCTACAGAGCTATGAGCTTGCCTCCTTTGGAACAAGTATCCACTTGAGAGCAGAACAGTAGATTGAGAACATGGAAGTTGCCTATAGGATGTGGAGGAGGATTTTCTGGAGTTTCTCCCATAAACGTTTGCCTTTAATGGAAGCTTCTCTTCCTGGTTGATAGCTTCCTCCATTCCCTCCTGCTCTTTTATTAAGACTGCAAATTGTTCACATGCTGCAATATATGCAATATTTATTCAGACAAAATACAATTTAATGATAGAGCAATAGTGAATATTGATAGATTTAGTTTGTTGTTCCCCAACTTCTTCCTAACATATCTAAGAACCCAGTTCTTTGTCCTTTTGCTGAATGACATAGCTGTCTTCTTTTCTGACCATAATAGAGCTTGGGAAGTTGAATTGGGAGTAGAAGTATAAGGGCCATTTATCGTCCTACAGTTTGCCCCTGAGTCTTGTGATATCACTAATTTTACTCAAGAAGTTGCAAACCATGAACTTTTGTGATAATGGAACAGTGATTATTGGGGAATATAATTGTTTTGATAGACCAAATGTGGAGATTCTGACCAGCTCTCTGGGCTGCCCTGCTTGTATGCTCTCCTTTCAGATTGTCTCTTCAGCCTCCACAGATCTCCAGGACTACACCTATTACTTTGTGCCAGCCCCTTGGCTCTCAGTCAAGCTCCTGCGGCTGCTGCAGTGTTACCCTCCCCCAGGTAACAAACATGCTCAATAAAGTCAAAGATAGTACTGGAATATGCCAGCTTCCTGTGCTGGAGAATAGTTGCCTGGACTTCTTGCTGATTTGCAGTTCTCTCCTTAGTAAAAGGCATAGAAGCAACAGATTATTATTAATCTGTTTTACATTTTCATCACAATTTTTATTTATAATTCAGGATAATTGACTGCTTTGAATGCATTTTTGGCAAATAGATGGGATGTGAATTTAATAAATAAAAATTAGCTTCTCTTCATCACCTTTTTCCTAGGCCTAAGGAAGTTCCTTTTTCCTCCGCTATTAAAAAGCCTGCACAAATATTATGCTCACGCTCTTCCTATTGTCCTCTCCCTCTGCATTTGATGAAGAAAGAGGTCCTGATAATACCTGTAATTTTTGTAGCATTCCAAAAACACTGAGCTTTGGTTGCATTTCTGTATGGAGCCTTTCAGAACAACAGAGAATGGATGGTCCTAAACTTGTGAGAAACTGGAATGAAATATAGATCCTCAGGGAGTGGGGGAGACTGATGTATGACTTACAGGGACTAGGATTCCTACCTAGGAAGGAAGCTAACTGCTTCGTTCCAAAGTTGCTACTCTTTGACTCCATACTTCGTTTTCTCTGCAGAAGATGCAGCAGTGAAAGGACGACTGGTTGAATGCTTGGAGACTATCCTCAACAAGGCTCAGGAACCCCCCAAGTCCAAGAAAGTCCAGCACTCCAATGCCAAGAATGCTATCCTTTTTGAAGCCATCAGTCTCATCATTCACTATGACAGGTAAGCATCTAACTTTGTTTTGGGGTTGTTGGTTTTTTTTATTAAAAGTCTATTTGATTGGAGCTGGGAAATGCATACTCTTTCAAGGGCATCTACATTGGCAATGATAATCTCTTTTGGAGGTGTGCTCTCAACCATGCACCTCCAGAGCTGCATTCATATCCTGTTCTTCATAATACTCTACTTCTCCTCAAAAATACTCATCTTGTTGCACAGCTAACTTTTTAAAACCCTCCATTGATACTTTTTTTGAATTTTTTTTATTTTTAAACAAACAAACATAAAACCATCTTCAATTGCAAACAGTATGTCGGTTGGTTAGAAGTCTTTTGTGCATCATTCACCAAATTCATAACTTACCATTTACAATTTACCTAGATTCTCATATCATCGACCTAATGTATATCTTTATCTTGTTATCCTCATTGATCATTTATTTGACTATAACTATTTCTTCCCTCATTATCATTCAAAATATTCTAAATTTTGCATTAATTTTTATTATAACATTCATTTCATCCTCCTGTATCTATCCAATAATAATACATCTATATGTTATGTTTCACATAGTTCTGCAATTCTCGCTTTTTTACCCTGCCAAATATATTTCAACACTATTTTATTTAAATCCTCAAAATACTCTTTCTCCAGCCTAATTGGAATTGTCTGAAAGAAGTATAGAATTCTAGGTAATATATTTATCTTAATCGTTGATATTCTCCCAATTAATGATAGTTGTAAATTTTCCCACTTTGCCAAGTCTGTCACTATCTGCTGTTTGAATTTATTGTAATTATTCTCTTTAAGTGTACTACATCTTGCTGTCAGGTATATCCCCAAGTACTTAACCTTATTTGTGATCTGTATCTTCAAAGCTTCCACCAGCTCTTCTTTTTGCTTTGTTAACATATTTTTTGTCAAAGTTTTCATTTTGTCTTTATTTATTTTCAAACCTGCTACTTTACCATATTCTCCTATCTTGTCTATCAATTTCATTGCTGATTCTCATGGATCTTCAAGAATAAAAAACAGGTCATCTGCGAAAGCTTGCAATTTGTATTCTTCCTTTTGAATTTTCATTCCTTTTATATCTTTATCTTCTCTAATATTTCTATTTAGGACTTCTAATGTTAACACAAACAACAATGGTGACAGTGGACAACCTTGTTCATTCCTTTTTTTATTTCAATAGACTCTGTCAATTCTCTATTTATCATTAGTTTTGCTGTTTGTTTATGGTATGTGGCTTCTATGGCTTGAATGAATTTTCTACCAAAGCCCATCTGTTCCAGCTGTAAAAGCATAAATTTTCAATTCACATTATCGAAGGCTTTCTGTGCATCTGAAAATATCAAAGCCATTTGTTTTTCAGGATGTGTTTCATAATATTCCAAAGTGTTCAGAATTATCCTCATGTTATCTTTAATCTGTTTTTTTGGCAGAAACCCATTTTGATCAGAATGTATGACATTATTTAAGTATCTTTTAAGTCTTTCTGCCAATATTGAAGCAAAAATTTTATAGTCTGAATTTAACAGGGATATGGGCCTATAATTCTTGATTTGTTGTGGGTCGGTCTCTTCCTTTGGAACAAGTGTAATATATGCTTCTGACCATGACTTGGGTATTTTTATCTTTAACATAACTTCATTCATGACTTCTAACAATGGGACACTCAACGATTCCTGTAGTGTCTTATAGTATTCTGCTGGCAGTCCATCCGGGCCTGGTGCCTTCCCATTCTTTTGTTTTTCAAGTGCTTCATTTAATTCCTTCATCGTTATATTTTCTTCTAACATCATTTCAGTTTCTTTGGAAATCTGGGGTAAATTTGCTTTATGCAGGTATCGTTTAACATCTTCGTCAATATTCTCATGTTCATACAATTTCTTACAGTAATCTTGTATAATTTTTTTCTTCTCTTTATTCCCATATCTAATTTGCCCTCGGTCGTCTATTAATTGTGTTATTTTTCTTGATTCTCTCTCTTTTTTCAGTTTGTATGCTAACCATCTACTGGGTTTATTTGCGTCTTCAAAATAATTCTGTTTGGCACTTCTAATTTTCTGTGCTAAATCCTCTTTTTTATTAGTCCCATTTTATGTTTAATTATGTTCATTTTTATTTTAATGTCCTTTTTTTGTGGAGATTTCTGTAATTCTTTTTCAAGTTTCTTGTAGTCATCCTAATATTTTATAAGCTTGTCTTTTCTTAATATTTCTTTTCCTTGTATAGTCTATTATCAGACCTCTAGCATAAGCTTTCACTGTATCCCAAAGGTTTTGCATTGATGTGTCCTCTTTTCTATTTTCTTTAAAAAAGAAAGCCAATTCTTTCTCCATTTTCTGTACGAAATCCTTTTCTTTTAATATTTAGAGTCCATCTAGATCTTCTCCTTTGTCCTTTCCATTTCATTGTCACTGGGTTATGATCTGCCCAGGTATTTGCTTCTATGTCAGTTTCTTCTATGTTAGAGATATCTATTGTCGTCCATATCATATCTATTCTGGGCCAAGATGAATGTCTATTTGAATAAAAAGTATATTGTCTATTTTTTGCATTTCTTTAACTCCATGCATCTTTTAAATTTGTTTCCTCTATCATTTTAAAGAAAGATTTCGGAAGAGTCTTTCTATTTTGCTTTATTGTTTTCTGTGTGTTATAATCTAATTTCTCATCTACTATACCATTGAAGTCTCCCATCATGCAAATGTTATCATAGTCCAGTTCAATTATTTTCATATGTAATTTTCTGTAAAAATCATCTTGCTCATCATTTGGTGCCTATATTGCTATTAAAAGTATTTTCATATTTATTATCTGTTATTTCAACCATCAAAATTCTTCCATCATCATCTTTATAAATTTACATCGCTGAAATTGTGTCTCTAATATATAAACTTCGTTGCATTGTGGCAACGAAGTGAATATTTTCCCTAATTTTGGCTGTACCAATATTTTTTCATGTTGCTTTTTAATATGTACTTCTTGTAAACAAATTATATCAAACTTTAGTTTCTCTAATTTGTGAAATATCTTTCTTCTTTTGGTGGCTAAATTAAGTCCATTTATATTTATTGTAATCAATTTTTTCTCTTCCATATTTATATTTTATAAGAAGGATTTATTGCTCTAGTAGATCTCTGTTCACGTTGTTCTCTATATTCCGCATTGCCACCCACTGCGCCTTCTTCCTTTTCAATCGTTGCTAAGCATTCCACTTGTAATTCAATCAGTGAATCTTCTCTTCTTGTCTGCACTTCTTTCTCTCTTAAGTATTCTGTACATAAAGCTTTTGCTTTATCAATTGAATCTATCCTATATTTTTGTTGTTGCCATGAAAACACAAGGCCTTCTGGTATCAACCATCTGTAGTTCACTCCTTTCTGTAGTAATATTTTAGTCAAGAAATGATATTCTCTTCTCATCTCCCTCACTCTTCTCGGTATTTGCTTCAAGACCACAATTTCTTTATCCTTATATTTCAATGTTTTCTCTCTTGTAATCTGCAGTATTTGCGTTTTGATCGATTTCTTAGTGAATCTTATGTGGACTTCTCTTGGTAGATTGTTTCTCATTGCATATCTTGTATAGACTCGAAATATCTTGTCTATGCCGTCCATCATCTTTTCTTTAGTAATTTCTAATGCTTCTGCCAAGGTTCCTATCATTTTTTCTGCCAAGTTTTCTCCCTTTTCTTCTTCTGTATTTTGAAATCTGAGATAAAATTCTGATCTGTCCATCTGCCATCCCAGTATTCCACTCTTATCTCATTCAACCTCATCCAATCTACTGTCAATATCTCGATTTTTTTTTGTCTCTTTGTTCTTCCTTCTCAATTTTTTGAAGTCTATCCTCATATTTCTTCATTGTATGTTTTCCACCTTTTCATCTGTTTTTTCTGTTCTTTGTTCATATTCTCTACTCTTGTTTGTATTTTTTGAATTCCTTGCCAAATCATCTGTAATGTCACTTCTTTTTCCTTCTCTCATTCCTTTTCCTAACCTGTTGTAACATCGTCTGTATTGATCGTTGTCCTGAAGATGGTGAAGAGGAAGGGGTCGATGTAAAAGAACCAATAGCTGTTGCCTTTCTGCTCATTTCTGTAAAGTGGTTGCAAAAAATTCAAACAAATAAAAAATCTTCAGGTTCTTCTATACCTTAATCCACTTCTACGTAGGACAAATATTATCCCAAGTAGCAATATGAAAAAGAAAAGCAAGAGAAAACCACAAAAAAGAAAAAAAGAAAAGAAAAAGGGAAGGTAAAAAATCTTCAGGCTCTTGTATGCCTTATTCCAATTAAACAGTGGGATATTGGACATATTAACAATCTCCCATCGAAGAAGGAGAAAAAGAAAAGAAAAAAGTCCAAAAAGAAAGAGAGAAAGAAAAAAAAGTAAACCCTAATAAAATACCTATGTATATGTAAAAAGTTAGAAATCTTCCAAAAAATCACAGTTCAGCTAAAAATAATTAAGTAGGGGGGAAATGGAGAAATGACACCAGAAAAAAAAAGAAGAAAAAATAAACTTTCTGTTTGAAAGGAAAATCCACAACTGCATAATACCCAAAAATTATTTTGTTTAAGTCTCACATAATATTTACAGCTCTCTTTCCAGAATCACTGCAATCTTCTTCTTTTCAGTCTCAGACTCGTGCCATTAATAGTTTCCCAGAAGACCACCTGAGTAAACAATCCTGTATACAGTCTTTGATGCTCTTCCCACTATCTTATCTATGAATAAGCTCAGAGTCCTTGAAATGTAGCACAGTTGTATTTTCTTTTACCAGAGGAAAAAACAGATACAATATTTCCAATCCACTAGATGTCGGTGTTACTTATTTTCTCCACTCTCCCTTCCCTTCCTGTATCCAATACGCAATAAAATAAAAATGGAGAGAGAAAAAAATAAATTAAAAAAATAAAACCAGAGAGAATTCATGCTAAAAAGGCACTAAAAATATACCAGTTAAGTAAATAAAACAGAAATCTCCAGTCCAATCCAGGCCAGTCCAAGTTAAAGAATAAAATCGTCCATAAACATCCACAAGTAGAAGTAAGTTGAAAAATAGGAAAAGCTACCTTAGACTTAGGCTTAATTCCGCCGCTTAACTTCTTATGTCTTCAATTTTAATTAACTTTTCACCTCAGGGTGTTCTTCAAATAATCTATTTAAAAGATCTCTCACCAAGCCGACACACTTTCTCTCAATCTCTTCCGTTCTGGAGCTGTCCCAACTTCAGCAGCTTAATGGCTGCCTCTTCATCGCCGGAAAAAAGGGCTTCTCTTGGATCCCAGGGACTTTGCAATGTCCCTGGGATTGACAGGGTGCGCCCTCCACTATCACTGTCTCTACGGGACGGTGAGGTCCAAAAAGGACCATCCAGCGGCGGAGATATTGACAGCGATCTTGGAGCTACAAGATTGTCCATCGTATCGTCACAATGTCAGCTCCTCCCTGCCTCCATTGATACTTTTGATACATTACTACTGTTGGAGACTTTTTGAAAACTAAGTTGCAGTGAGATGGTGGGGTGAGGCTATGTGTCTTTGCAACATTTGAGAAGAGGAGACTTAGCCAAAAGAATTGTCCTAAATGCTCCTCAACTCAGAATATCTTTTTTATAAAAATAATTTGATTTCAATTAATTATTACAAGGAAGCAGGTTAAAAGGTCTGATCAATTTGAGTTTTCCCAGTTTGTGGAGAAGGAACAAGATATGGCTTAGACATCAGTAGGCTAAACAGAAACAAAATAGTCTCTCTTTGGCCCACAGACCCAAAATTCTTCAGTATTGCTTTGATTGATCAAAATCTCTGGGGGGGAAATGTTATGTGACTTTCAGGATTTTCTATTAAGTGTTAGCAGAGCCAGAGAAACAAATATAATCATGAAAATCAAATAAAAAGAAGAAAGAGTGGTTTTATAGAATTAGATGGATGGCTGGAACACTGGAAAAGTTGAGAGACTCATAGTCAGGCTGAGCTATGTACAGAGTACTCCCTACTGCTCCTACTCTGGAATTAATCCTCACTTCTTGTTCTGCAGTGAACCCAATCTGCTGGTACGTGCATGCAATCAACTAGGCCAATTCCTGCAGCATCGAGAGACCAACCTTAGATATCTAGCCTTGGAGAGCATGTGTACCCTAGCCAGCTCTGAATTCTCACATGAGGCTGTCAAGACCCACATTGAAACAGTCATCAATGCTCTAAAGGTCAGACTCTGAAATGGCATATGGAGAAAAAAGTGACTTTTATGGGGAGTGAGGGTGTAAGACTTAATGAGAGGGACTTTCCCAAATTTCTCAATTCTGTTTTCTAAAGAAAGTTCCTCTCTGCTAACAAATGTAATTTCTGTTAACAGTAAATGAAACATTTATAGTATATGTCACAATCTTAGTCCCTCATCCCCAGTTGATGGGAGGCAAGATTAAAAGAGATTGCCTCTCCATCCTAGAATTACAGGAAGGAACAAACTGTGAATCATGTGTTGCATAAGGCATTCCAGCCTCCAACTTGGGGGATCAAGATTGTACCACTAAAATTCAATGGCAGAATTTTCAGTCATTCAATTTTTAGCTTTTTTCTCAGCAAATAATAGATAAAAATGCATCTGTTCTTTAATACTTCTCCAAGCCATCTCAGCCTTACTTTCAAGAATGGGCTGAAAATTCTCATGTACTCCCAGTGATTTTGTTGCATCAAAGGGAAATGAGTTCTGTGGCCGTTAGAGGCAAATATATATATTTACATGAAAAAAACGTGTCCCAATGCTTGCCCACCTCTGCTGTAGAGCATTGGGAAGAAATCTAGGAAAGAATTCAATTGAAGTCAGAAGGAAATAGTCAAGGTTATGTAGAATTTACAGTCATTTTGTCAAATATGGCATTTAGATTTAGAAACCTAAAGTTTATACTTTTCATTTTGATCTATTTGATTGTTTTGGGAAACATCTTTCTAGCATTATCATTGTCACTTTAATTACTGTACTTCAGTATACATTGATGAAATGTCAAAAGCCTGGCAAAGATCCAAGAATAAATTTATTGTTTTTAGGCTTTAGTATCCTGCTAGGTTTTTGCATCTTTCTATAGTTTGAAAAGAAGTTAGACAAATCCTGAAAATATTGGCAATGGGCTCAGTTTTTTAAAAAATTGACATGTATGTGGAATTAAATCTTATATACATTTATTTGTCACTTGTTTATTACATGTACATATTGCTGCTGTAATCTACAGGGATTCCTAGAAGTTAACACATAGTTTATATATAATGAAAATTAAAATGTCCACAGTTGCTAAACTAAAACAAATTATAAATTACTTCCCATTAACTAGAGATAGTGTTCTCTAGTTAATCTTCAAATGACTTTGAAGAATTCAATTCTAATCAACTTTGGCAAGATTACCAAGCTGCTCTAACTTTTAAAGTAAGACTGTTTCATTGCTCATTGGAGTCCAGAGTCATTAGTGTAAAAAACTTTTTGAAAAAAAAGTGGGGGACACTAGCCCCCTTTCCCCTCACAGAAGAACTACCAGTAGCTTTTTCTGGGAGGAATGTATCACAAGTGTTGATTCCAATAAGAGAAGCAGTCCTGCAAGTACTTGGCTGCCAAGACATGTAGAGCTTCATTGAGGTCCTTTGATTTCACTTAGAAACGTAACTGGAAATCAGTTTGCACAAGTAGTAGAAGAAACAGAATCTTAACAGAAAAAAATTAAGTCTATAGTGAGTGCCACTGGCAGTGTCCTACAACTACTACTTGAGTCTTCCTGACCAAAATTACTTCCTTACTGAAAATTTTGTTTCATATATAGAATGTACAGTATCTAAATTTTAGGAACCATATTACTGCATTGCCGGAACCTCTGTTCCTTTTGATGTATTTTGGGAATTCTTATTAGCTTAATGATCAGAAAGTAATGGACCACAAAACTGAGATAAAGAAAGAAAAGAAGAAAGGGGAAATTCCATTGAAATGGCAAATATGACATCCTTTTAATTCTTCCTTGTATATCTAATCTTTTGCATTGGTCTCCTTAATACATTTTGCAACTTGTATCTGCTTAAGCTAAATTGGAGGTGTAATTGGCTCTTAATTAATGCTGAAGGTACAAAAGGTTTTGTCTCTATTTAACCACCTATCTCATTCCACAGACGGAACGGGATGTGAGTGTACGCCAGCGAGCTGCCGACCTTCTCTATGCCATGTGTGACCGTACAAATGCCAAGCAAATAGTCTCGGAGATGCTTAGCTACCTGGAAACAGCAGATTACTCAATTCGTGAAGAGATTGTGAGTACGGGTTGCCAACTCATTTGGAAGAGGAACCTGGGTCTTTTCATCTCAGTAGATTGCAGAGAAACATAATGAATGCCTGCCACAACATGAAAACTGGTCTGGAGAAGGCAGACCAGTTGGGAGTTGGCAGCCACATTTTCTTTTTCTTCTGTCAGGTACTGAAGGTGGCCATCTTAGCTGAGAAATATGCTGTAGACTATAGTTGGTATGTGGATACCATCCTTAATCTGATCCGCATTGCTGGTGACTATGTGAGTGAGGAGGTGTGGTACCGTGTCATCCAGATTGTCATTAACCGGGATGATGTGCAAGGATATGCAGCTAAGACAGTCTTTGAGGTGAGTGGTCTTCACTTGTGACACTGACTGTCCCTTCTTCCAAGGAGAGAGTTTTCTTTTCCCTCCTTTTATGAGTATGTGAGTCTGGCTTTGTGAACTAGATGGATTCTCCATTCTTATTTCATTGTTCAAACATATATGGCCATAATAAGAAATAAATATTTTCAGAGGACACTAAAAAGGATTTCAGCGTAATGACGACTGAGCATCTTCAGGGTCTACAAAATGCTAAATATTTATTGATGCAAGGGAATAAAATTAAGTGTTATGAAGTAGGTTATGGCTGATTGTGAGGGCAATATTATGAACTTGGATGGTTTAACTATTGAGCTCCATACACATATAGTTTTGCAGTATGTCTGATGCTGAATATATCAGATTCTGGAATGTCAGAGGTTGTCGGTCAATCTAAAAGAGTCTAAAAAAACTTGATTCTGTTTAAGCCTTTGATCTCATGGGATTGGTTAGGAAAGGAGCTCAAAAAATATCCAACCTGCCTTTCCTTTTAAGAGCAATGATGTCATAATAAACAAAAACAGGAGCTTATTCTCAAGTTGCATCTACCTAACTGCCCACCAATTTGCTTTACTTTTTCTAGGCTCTTCAGGCACCTGCTTGTCATGAGAACATGGTGAAAGTTGGAGGCTACATCCTTGGGGAATTTGGGAATCTCATTGCTGGGGATCCCCGTTCCAGGTAGATAATATGAGAGAAAATGGCTTGACCTGGAGTAGGGGGTAGGGTGGAGTGGGGTGCGATAGAGCAGCTTCTATGAGGGGGGTGGGGGAAAGCAAATGCTGGGATTGTATTGAGACTGTAGCATTCAGAATTCCCAACCAGCCTAACTGAAGAAAATTGTAAAAGTTGCAGCCTCAGCACATCTGGAGGGCAACATCATTCTCCTGTTTTACTGATTATGGGACATTTAAGGAGATTGTCTCATTGTTCTTTGATGATGTGAGGGAAGCCTGTGAAAATGTTTCCTTCACATTTCCTAACCTGTAGATCTCAGGGGCTCTGACTTGTATTGTCTCCTGTTCTCCTTTCTCCACCAGCCCTTTGGTTCAATTCAACCTTCTCCACTCCAAATTCCACCTCTGCAGTGTTTCCACTCGGGCCCTACTTCTCTCTACCTACATCAAATTCATAAATCTCTTCCCTGAAACAAAGGGCACTATCCAGGAAGTGCTGCGCTCAGACAGCCAGATCCGCAATGCTGATGTGGAACTGCAGCAACGTGCCGTTGAATACCTCAAACTCAGTTCTATTGCCAGCACCGATGTCCTGGTGAGGGAAGAACTGAGAGGGGGGCACTGATAGCCCCGTCTCTCAGGGAAGATAGATTCTTACTTTTTCCTTATTAAAAAGTTGCAGCCATAATATGAGAAAAGTTGACTCAGAGAGCATTGGAAGAGAAAATACGAAACTTCTCTTTTTGGTGGAATAGATCAAAGTTTCGTATTTTTGTACTTGGTCCAAAGCCAGTTTTTACCCTTTTATCTGAAAGCGGAGTGGGCTAGGGTGGTACTTCAGTTGAATACTGGCCTTTGAGGAGTGTACTACAATGATGTCTCCAAATGAAATGGAAATTCTAGCTTATTTGTTTCCTTTAAGGAGCAGAGTTGGGATTGAAATGTGTTACCTAGAACCAATACATACCATCCCAGAAAAGCATAATGCAACTATTTGCAATGTTCGGGGGTTTAAAAAGTGCAAAATAACACTGCTGGGGGGTGGGGTTTCTCTAAAAGAGATATGGGGAACTTCCTATAGCTTTCGAGTCATTCTGCGTTAAAGAAGTTCCAGGCAGGTGACTTGCAGAGACCAAATATCATAGAGAAAGTGGATGGCTACACAGGGCCAGTAGAATAAAGCAGATAGTTCACATGCAGTAGGTGGTCACATTGTCTTTAGGATTTTTTTATTTTGCAGAACTCATAAATTCCAGTCTTTTTCCATAACTACAAGGTTGAGTGACAGGGCATATTGGTACTTGTTTCCAATTTTCACCCTTACTGCTTTAGGCTACAGTACTGGAAGAGATGCCACCATTCCCTGAACGTGAATCTTCCATTTTGGCAAAACTGAAGAAAAAAAAGGGTCCCGGGGCTGGCAGCGAGTTAGAAGATGGCAAAAAGGATCCGAATTCTGAAATCAATGGAGGCATGGAGCCCTCAGCCAGCACTGCTGTGAGTGCAAGGGAAAAGAAGAAGGCTGGAAATAGAGAGTGAGGGTCTTGGAAGGCTATATGCTGTATGTGAAGTCTGGGAAAGGGAAGAAAAAATAGAAAGGACCGGAAGTAACAGTTATAAATTCTAATCTCGTACAACCCTGTCAGATTATAAAGCAGGATTTTTCATGCTCTAATCATTTCCTTCAATGACACCAACATTTTGGTAGGTACGATACGAAATGTTAGTAGATTTCCTTTGTAATATTAATTCATTGTATCACCAATAACAGCATTCTCCTCTACTCCTGGTCTTGGTCTTGGCCAAAAACTAAATTCATATCTCAGAGGGCAGACAGCAAATAGATGTGTTATCTGAGACTTAATTTCAACTCCAGTTTACACTTTTATTCTTTTTACTGTTTCCCCTTGCCTTTCATGTCAACTAAGCATGAAACTTTTGCAAACATTTTAACAAGCTCATCAAATCCCAGAGGAAAGAGCTGTAATGAAACTGATATATATGAAGCCCAACTTCCGGGAATACTTTAACTGCAGATATTTTATCTTTTTTTTCTTTTATTGAAAAGTTTTTTTAAAAAGTTTACACGTATTTCCCCCCTCCCCTCCCCTCTCCTGTCCCAACCCTCCCACCCCCCCTTGACTTCCCAGACCAAATACAGGGTATAGCATTTAACAAACATAAAAAAAAAACATAAGCTAACTATATAGATTTATCTCCCTCTTGCACTTTAACTCCCCTTGTTCATATCTAAATATAACTATTTAAACCAATTATTGCTTGAAAGTAATCGATCCAATTTCATTCTTGTCCATTCTTCAATAATAAGCAAGTCTTCTTTCTTCCAGCATTACACAGTCAAAGCTCAGTTACAGTTAAACATCAGATCTCCAACCCTTACATATATTAACACCTTAACAAAATATTTTAACCAATCTCAAATAAAATATATTGTAGAAATCTTATTTTTACTTTTTACCCCATAAACTTATATTAATTCTTCTTGAAAACATTCCTTGCTTAGTAGCTTTACATAAACTTATTCATCTTATTCTCTACAAATCCTCTAGGTATAATCAAATAACATCTTCACTGTTTAATATCCATATAAAATATTGTCAAAAACCTTCCCTCAATCCTTGCACCATTTATATTTTCCTTATACCCCACAGGTTTCTATTTATTCTTCAACAAAGCATTCTTTAGTATGGTATTAATGTAATTTAAAACAACATATAAAAGTTTAAGTAATATCCTTCTTCTAACCCATAAACTTATATTGAATGATCTACACTGTCCATAATTTTTACATCCACAATATTTTTCTTTTAACCCATAAACTTATATAAATTCTTCACCAATTCATAACAGTTCAACCATCACATTATTTAATGTAACTTTTCAAAGCAAATCATGTCCCTAAATATAGGTAAATCATTCATTTTCCTTATAATATAACTTATACAGGTATAGTCATTCTTTTTCACTATTATTATCCTCCCCAAAAAAGAGGATTGTAATTTTTCCTTCTCCATTTTTTCCTGACTTTTTTGCGAACCTTCTGCTTCAGTCTTTTTCCTCCGCCTTCTTTTATTTTTATAAGTTCTTGGATTTTAAACTGAAGTTGCTTAACCTTACAATCCTATTCTCTTCACAAAGTAATTCCTTTCAGTAAAAACACCTCTTTAACTGCGATTGGGAATCCATTTTTGTAAAAAAAGTTGTAAAGTTCCATTTCAAATCTTCCTTCTTATATAAGAAATCCCAACACCTCCTGACAATTTTTCAGTTGTCTGTGTCAAACCCTCTAAAGAAATGTCTCTCATTATTTCCTGGTTGCGCTCCTTCAAGCCTGTCTGCCTTTCCTTCTTAATTTGAAAAGCCTCCATTTCATTTTCCAAAGGCACATTAAACTGGGTTATTTCGTCCACTTCCTCCTTCAGGAACTCCTTGTTGTTTGGCAACTGGAACGATACAGTATCTTCACTTGTATCTTTGTTTCGAATTTGTGTAAAGTCCTTCTTGAAAAACTCTTCCATTCTTTCCACTAACGCGGAGGTAAATGATTCTAAAATTTCTTCAAAGAAATCCACAGTCAGTATTTGTGTATGTAATGGTGAGCCTTCATCACTTTCAAAAAAGCCAGCCATTTTTTTTCCCTAATAAGACTTTCACTTTATACTTTCCCAACAACTAAATCAATTATTCCAGTCCTTGAGTGGTACCAGTCTTTTTAAATAAAAGTCCTTTTAAAATAAAATCCTCTTCTTTTAAACAGGGGCTTTTAGCACCACTTGATACTTTGTATCTAACTTTCACTTCTCCACGCCCTCGTTAGAATCAAACGCCATCTTACTTTCCCTTTCTCCCATAGAAAATCAGAGGGAAGTGATAGACTCTTCGGAGTTAAAGTTTAGTACTTGCCATTTTAGTTTCTCCTGTATTTGCTCTGCCAGCTTTCAAGTCCAAAATTTTTTTTCTTTAAAGTTGAATTGCTGGGGTGGTCGCGACGCCTAGTTCTGCTTGAAGCAGAAACGTCCCATGTCCGGAGCAATGACGGGCTTCCCGGGGAGCTCTCACCCTTTAAGCCCCAGATTTAAAAAGAAAACTGGGGCTTTTGGGGAGCTCTACCCACACCCGTCGGCTCTCTTTCCCCCCTTCTCCCAGGGGGAAAGTTTTCAAGCCGCTGAACAGCTGATTTTCGCTGTTCTAGCGGCTCTAACGGAGTCCTGGGGCTGGTGCTCATAAGGGAGCGTCTTTCGGCGTCGGCAGAGCCACCGGAAGTCAACTGCAGATATTTTATCTTGACATAGCACAGAAGTAAAGAACTCCAGACCTGATCTTTATTTCTATTCCTAAGGTAGAGATAAATAATTGAGTTCAGTTTCTAAGTTAGGATCATGAAAACAAACAAAAAAAATTTGCCCGTTTTCTTTCTCTTGCAGTCAACGCCATCCCCATCTGCCGACTTGTTAGGTCTCCGAGCCACACCAGCGACTGCATCTGGTGCACCTGCCAGCACTGGCAACCTTCTAGTGGATGTTTTCTCTGATAGCCCATCTACCACAACTGGCCTGGCCTCTGGTGCAGAAGAGAATTTCCTAAGGTAATATGGCGACTCAGGTCCAGGCTGTCTTTGCCCCAGCCTTCCTAAGAAAAGGGATTGACACATTGGATCAGTCTAAGCACGTCTTGTAGTCAAGGGACTACCAGCTTTTTCTAGACAATTGCTGGGAGATCATATAGGATACAAGAGTGATTGCTCTGTTAAGAATGCAGATTCTGATCTATAGCTCTGATGGAGATTTGTGAAGAATGAGTCATAGTGGCTGAGTGCCTTATTCCATGGAGAAAGTTCCAGCTCAAAGGGTAGATCATCATCTGCCACCTAATCTGACTAGCAGTTGATGGAAGGACTTCTTGTGCTCGAGATCCTCATCCAAGAGTAAGAGGGACAAAGTAGGTAGATACACAAGTGCCTGTTTGTAATAAGAAGATGACCATGTTATACATACATCTTTGTATAGAATAGGCAAGATTGATCTACAGGTGTTTGTTTCCAAGTAGCTTGGGAGTTTTGGGTTTCCTTTCTCTAGATGGGCAATTAGCACATGTCAGCTCTCAAGGTCTTGTCTTGCTCTCTCTTTGTCTTGGGTGTGAGAGTCTCTTTCTTTCTCTCTCTGTCTTGTCTGTCTGTTGCCTTTTTGGAATGGTTTCCTCTCTCTTTCTCTCTCTCCTTTCACACCTCTTACCTTGGATGAAACAGTGACTTGGAGGCAACTCCTGAGAATCCTGCATCCCTATTGGTGGAGGCTGACCTGCCTGCAGAGTAAGGGGTTCAATCTCTCTCTCTCTCTCTCTCTCTCTCTCTCTCTCTCTCTCTCTCTCTCTCTCTCTCCCTCCCTCCCTCCCTCCCTCCCTCTCTCTCTCTCTCTCTCCCTCTCCCTCTCTCTCTCTCTCTTTCTGTCTGCTATTACAACCTTCCCACCACTATTTGCATTTCATTGGATTTCGCTAAGAGAAGGATCACAGATGTTAGTATGATAACATTGTGAATTCTCAAAAAGTAAAAAGAATGGCAAAGTCACAATGTAACATGTGATGTGTAGAGAGTCTATACAAGAGCTTCTAAATGTGTCCTCTGTAATTTTGTCCCATTTCTGCTCCCTTTGGTGTCGGTGGTCACCCATATGCTTAGAACTACCTCCCAGAATACCTGCTCCATTGCTTGCTTTTTCCCAAATTCTGCATCAGAATCCATTTTTTTTAATGAAACATTGGGAACATCTTTATATTCCCCATGTTCAGCTGGAAATAGCCAAATGTAAGCATGCGCTACTCATAATTTTAGCATTTTGCTTCTGTTTACCCCACTGCTATTTCTTGATCTCTATGATTTCCAAGATAAAATCTAAACTTTAAGACTGCAGGAGCAAGAATCTGTCCATCTGGACATTAGAAACTACTATGCACTTATAAAATAATGGTTTCCACAGAAGAGAGGTGAATACAGGGGTGAAATCCAGCAGGTTCTGACAGGTTCTGAAGAACTGGTAGTGGAAATTTTGAGCAGTTCGGAGAACCGGTAGCGGAAATTTTGAGTAGTTCAGGGAACCAGCAAATATCTGGCTGGCCCCTGGAGTGGGATGGGAATGGAGATTTTGCAGTATCCTTCCCCTGCCATGCCCACCAAGCCACGCCCACCAAGCCACACCATGCCCACAGAACCAGTAATAAAAAAAAATGGATTTCACCACTGGATGAGGAGAGTGAGAAATACACTTTGCTAGAAAGGGCATTCTTGGTGTGTTGCTAGATTAGGAGGAGACAGTCTAGCCATATTCAATACCCAAGCCAACCACAGTTGCCAAAAATCACCAGCAGGTTTCTTCTTGGTTGAGGTGGGAAAAAATGAACATTTTACATAATAGTACTCTTAAAATAATCTTGACATTATTATAGTAACAAAAACACAACAACCTGAAATTCCTAACAAAACTGTAAAATAAAAAAGAGGCCATAGGCTTGCCTATTTTATGTGACACCTATGCATTTACTAAGTCCTTCCCTGCCTCCCAACTCATTAAGAACAATCCATACCTATTAGAAACATGCTATAGCCTGTAGAGTTGCAATCTACAACCTTTCCGTCATTTGATCTAATCCTGATCCCTAACTGTCTCAAGCTCCTTCTGTGCATCATATGTTCAAGAACTTCAGAATTCAGAACATGAAAACTAGAAAGTCATACATCTTTGAATGGAAACAAGACAGCCATTGGTTGCTTCAATGTGACGTAGGCAGGCTAGGGACTTGAAAAGGAGGAATCCTCTTTCAAGGGGCTTGAGTAAGACAGTAATTCAGAATTGGGTTTCTTAGGGTTGAGAATAAATTGTGGTATTTTAAGATGTCAGGAAATCCAGATTGTACACAGACAGGATTTCTAGATGAGAATCCATTTGAATCAATACCTTAATTAGGTTGGTTCAGAAATATAGAATATGTACTATATACTGGAAAAAGTCTTAGCTCCCATGAATTTAAGACTTCTTTTGTTTCATTGGCTTTTAAATGTGAGGAATGTGAATTCGTTAGTAAGAATATAAAAACATAACATATAAAAGGCTCTCATCCTCTACAGAGTTTATATGCTCAGGAGTTCAAATGTTGTGGGATTACAGCTTCCATCATCTCCCTAAAATCAGGTCTGGGTTGATGCAAGAAAGAATCAAACAATATCTGAAAAGCTAAGATTTGGAATCTCTCCTTTATAGTATTTTTCAAGAATACTCCAGTTCTCCTTCTGCCTTGGTACCTGCTCTGTGGCATGTTCTCTCTATGTTTAGATGCGTGTGGTTTGATTCCCTCCTCCTTTTCTTTTTCTGATACTAACACGGTGCTATACCAGGTGACTCATCTTTTCTGCTCTTTTTCTTCCCTGCCTCTGTCAACTGCTGGCCCCTTTGCTATGCCCCTTCACCACCACCAGCTCAGGGGCTGCTGCTTCTGTCTCTGAGGACTCTGCTTTGCCTATTGCTGAGGCTGATGAACTGCTTCACAAGTAAGATCCCGGGGTAGGACTGCGGCTCCTGAATGCTAGGATTTAGGGTGGGGGACTGGACTAAGTGCCACTCCCCTTTGACATATGTGTGGGATGGCTTCCTCCAGCCTGAAACACTGAAACCTCAGTCAACATTATTCCCTGTCACATAATTGCACCTCCAGGAAGTACTCTCCAGATGGAATGGTTGGGAAGAAATTGGCCATCCCAGCATACTAGATAAATTTTAATGTATGATCTTGAGGAGTTAACAGGCTGAGCTCGATACCTTAGTGGGAGGAAGGGATGAGTGGCTTTGTATCAGAATTGGTAAATGTGGGGAAAGTGGCTGGCATTTCCAGTAGAAATGACATGCATATTTACAAATAATGGGTAGTCTCTGCCTACTTCTAACCAAGCCTTCATACATTATCACAGGTTTGTGTGTAAGAATAATGGGGTACTCTTCGAGAACCAGCTGCTGCAAATTGGGGTGAAGTCAGAATTCCGGCAGAACTTAGGTAAGTGTTTGTAGTAGGTTGAGTACCATAGGCAAGTTGGGATTTGTTCAAGACTCTGAACAAATCCGACACATCCTGTGTCCTTATATGAGGGTAACCTTTTTTTAAAAAATGAGTACATTGTAGACAAGAAGTGGTCTTTTTTGAGTTGAAGACTGCAAGACATGTTGTAGGGTTAGATGGATGTTAGGGTTATATATGCTGGTCTCACCTTAACATTTCTATGAAGAGCCAATATGAAGTGAACAGTTTTGTGATACCCAGTTTCTATTCCCCACTTACCCATGAAACTCAAAAACAAAATATTCTGTATTTGCTAAGTTGTCTGTTCTAGGATAGTGCTGTAAGTGCAGATAGAGAGAGAGAGAGAGAGAGAGAGAGAGAGAGAAGAGAGAGAGAGAGAGAGAGAGAGAGAGAGAGAGAGACAGACAGACAGACAGACAGACACACACACACACACAACACACACACACACACACACACACACACACAATGTATATGGCTGCCCATACTACTTTATATGTGATTCTGGTAGGCATACACAATTAAGTTCAACCATTAAAAACAATTAAACTAATTCAAAATTACAGTTAAAAGCTAAGTAGAAATATAAGTGATAGTGCAATCTAAACTTTTTTTTTTGTAAATATTTTTTTATTTTTTTCCAAAGATAAACATAAAATATAACTTTCAAGAACAGAGTTTTGATCCGGTCATAGATGGTTAACATGCTTACATTCTTTTAATACGCTCTATTCCACTTTTCCATTACATCTTTTAAAAGTTTAAAACAAAAAAACAAAAACAAATTTAAACATAAAATTCTAACATTTTCATCTAAACAAATCTAATATATCAATACAGCTTTAGCTTCAAATTAAATTTTAACTCATTATCTCTGTATCTATATCTCATCAATATCCAATTAATTGTTAACAATATTCTAGTCTCTTATTCTAATTATATACCTGACAATTTTATCACCAGAATTATCAATTTCAATTTCAATACAACTCCATTTTGTTAAAATTTATAAAACACAATTTTATCAACATCTTAATTATTTGACCCTTTTTATCAAATCAAAGTATCTTAAACTTTCCAATTTAATATCCCACTTATTACACAGTTTTATCACAAGAACATATTACTTATTCTTTTCCAAGTTATGAACTCTTTTGAGATTATTCCCAATATTATCTCCTCCCTATCTCCCCACGTTATAGGCTGATTTCCAGCATATTGTATTTGGCTAGTTTCTAGCATAATCTTCTCCCATACTCCCTCCATTGTTTGGCTGACTTCCAGCATATTTTATTTGGCTAATCTCCAACTCTCCTCCTTTTGCTTGGCTGATTTCCAGCATTTTATTGGCTGATTTCCAGCATTTTGTGTTTGGCTGATTTACAGCATAGTCTCCTCCAACTCTCCTACCATTGTTTGGCTGATTTCCAGCATTTTAGTTATTTTCCCACTTATTTCCTCCGAGTCTCTAACTTTTATCTAGTTAGTATCCTTCACCTCATTATTTTAGCTTTCCCTTACATCATAATTATCTATTTGATCTTTATCTCAACATATTCATCAAAATTAATTCTCATTATATTTCATAGTAATCATCATTTCCAATATTTGTTGAATTAAATCACAATTTATCTCTATCATCTGTGTATTTCATAGTTTCATTCAATAATATGTTAATCAATCATAGTCACCAGTCTAACTTTGTTTGCAGAGTATAGCGTAGTACAACAAATAATAGGTTTTCTTAAAGTTATCTCACGTTAGTATACACTTCTCATTGTAATTTTTAACCACTTAGTATATAAATCCCTATTTTAATTGCCATTTATTATTTTCTTTCTTTATTATTCCAAAAACCTTCCTGTTTAATCCAAAAAAAGGAAAAATAAAAACCTTTTATTCCTTTAAGCTTTTAAGCATTACATTACAATTTAATTACATTTAGTTTAAATCTATTTTGTTTCTTCTTTTTCCTGCCTGTCCACCTGTTCCACTTCAAAGTTCATCTATTCAAATTAAAAGTGCTACATATCACTTTAATGCTCTTAAAATGTCTGCTCCAAGCGTGATGTATCCACTTCCTATCTTGTATTCATGCACCACACCGTCTTTGCTAAGTCTGTAAATTTCCATTATAGAAAGGGTCCAGGATCTTTCTTCTTTCTTCTTAAAATCACCCAGAACAGAATAAGAATTTCCAAAATCCATTAGTCTAATGTTAATTCCAAAGTAATCATAATAATCCAAAATAGAAAGCCATTTAGACTATTTCTTTTACAAGCAGAAAGTAAAGTCTCTTCAATCAACCCCCCCCCCCCCCCCCTTTTTCTTGCTAGGTCAGTTAGTTTCATTTCTAGTAAATCCAGAGTGTTTCTTCTTTCTTCTTTTTAAAATCACCCAGCGACAGAACAGGAATCTCCAAAATCCTTAAATCTAAAGTTAATTTCAAAATAATCCAAAGTAAAACTCCATTCATAGTGTTTCTTTTCCAAATAGAAGGGAAATTTCTTTAATCCACATTCCACCTAGTCACTGCAGACTCCATAGCTACAATGTAGCCGTTCATCTACCTTTCTTCATTAACTTTCCAAAGTTGTTAACTCCCCAAAAAAAGGCACACAAAAAAAAATGTTTCTCCAATTCATTCCAATTAGAAAAATAGGGAAAATAAAATCCAATTTTCTAATTCAGTAAAAACCAATTCTTCCAAATCAAATATACTAAAAAATTCTAACATGGGTCATTTATTTCCAATTAATTATTCCATGTCAAATTTTCAAGCCCCAAAGCTCTGTAGCCGTTTTTTAAATTTTGGGTTCTTATTTTTTCTTTAAAAAAAAAATTCCATTGTTTCTTGCCTGGGTCGGTGTCACTCACCTGGCTTCAAAAAACTCTTCCATTCCTCTTCTATCCTGCACATTCTTTTCACGGTCCGCCGCAGCTTTGTGGCAGCCACCATGGCTGCCTACCCCCACCGCCGACTTCAAGGATTCCCTCTGGCTTCTGAGGAACTTGCCTGTTCCTCTAAGCCTTCCGAGGTGCTCCTTGTCTCCCCCTATCCCTCCGAGACAGGGTTGGTCCGAAGACCGATCGATCGGTGGTTTGTCAGTTGGGGTTTCCGCGGGCTCGTTAGAGCCCGCCATAGCCCCAACTGTAGCGCTGCGGTGCCGGACCGGAAGTCCAGTGCAATCTAAACTTCTACACAATGCAACCATTAATGGACTTCACACTTCCATTGCATCCCAAGCCCAATGACACATCCAAGTTTTGAGAGTATTCTGGAAGGCCAGCAGAGTTAGGGCCTTTCTCGCCTCAGGAGAAATACCGTTCCAAAGGGCAGAAAAGGCTTTCTATTGAGTCCTGCTAAATGAATCTCCTCGGCCAACGGGACTCAAAGCATACTGCTTCTGAGAGGCCTGATGGGATGAGTAGATTAATTGGAAAGGCAGTCCCCCTATATTGCTAAGAACACCAATACTTTCCCATTATAAAAAGGTAGAATGGCTCATTGCTAGGTCTGGCTGGGTCTTTACAGCCTTTCTCCAGACTCTATAACTGTACCCCATCTTGTTTAAAAAATTGTTTTAAATCAACTTTGTGTGATTCCTTATCAGATATTTCACTTATAGTTCACTAAAGACAGGAAGGTTTTCTACTCTGCATGTGATACCCATTATCCGCAGAAACACACTTAGTCACTGAATTAATGCATTTGTTTGGATTTGCACAATATATTGAACAGATTGGTTCATACAACTCTCAAAGCCACAAGTAGCAAAAATGAATGAAGCCTAGTAGCATTTTAAGGTTTTTGTGTCTTAGTGGTTTGTGTGAATCCACAGTCTTTAACAGTTGCAAAAAGAAAAGAAAATTTTGCCTAAATTTCATAATCTTAAGCAAGAGAGAGAAAGTGAGGAAAGGAACTGATAAATAGAAATGACAGTATACAACACAAAGATAGGTGGGGTAAATGGCAGAGCCCTAATTTGGATGGATTGTGAGGAGGATGTATTCTTTCCAGTCTAACACCAGCCAAATGTGCCTGAATTCACAAATTATATAAATTGTAACAGTTTGTTTGATTTATTTAAATTAAATTAGGCCATTTGTAAATTATAGTTAATCATTAAATACAGCAACCTTTTTTTTAAAAAAATAATTTTTATTATAAATTAAAAACAAAAAACAGAAAAAAGACTATAACAAGACAAAATCACATACATACAACTGAGGTTGATTCAACCCCCATATATATACAGTTTCTAAATATTACATATCATCATACTACAGATTCGATTAGGTTTATCATATTGCATCTTGCACTTGTTAATCTTCTTATACCTTCGTATATCTAATATTACCTTATTTATATTTAGTTTGCTGTTTACATATCTATGCCACATGCTTTCCTAACATCTATCTCATGACATTTTTACTTCTATCCATTGGTACCATTTATCCCAGCTTTGATTGAAAGTTGATTCTTGTCTATCTTTAAGTATATATGTTAATCTATCACATTCTGCACACCACAAAATTTTGTAAATAATCATCTGATCGGATGGTACTTCTTTCCCTTTCCAAAGTTGCATATATGCAATTCTAACCGCAATGGTAATATTTATGAAAAGGTACCAGTCTATTTTCCTTAGGCCCTCAGGATTTATTTCTAATAAGTAGACCTCTGGTCTCAATTGAAAGCTGACTCCTGTAATCTCCATGAGCCAATCTTTTATCTTGCTCCAATAGTTTTGGGTTTATAGACATGTCCACCATTGGTGGTAAAATGTACCCCTGGCTGACCCACATTTCCAACATTCTGCTGAAGTTCCAGGGAACATCTTTGCAGTTCTTGCTGGTGGTATATGCCATCTATATAACATTTTAAATATATTTTCTTTGAAGGACACTGCCATTGTCATTTTTGCATTTCTGTTCCATATTTGTTGCCATTTTTCCAAATCTAATGAATATCCAAAGTTCCTCCCCCAGGCTATCATCGAGTCTAACTATTTCATCAGCTACAGATTGGGACAGGAGGAGGTTATATACCTTGGTGATACAACACAGCAACCTTTGATGGCACCACAGAAATATATTTTAATAATGGTTAAAAACTCTGAATAATTAGATTTTTTTTGGTGAAATGTTTAGTAGTCCCTCAAAATCACACTGTATTGTTTTACGTTTCCTTTGGTTTGGGGGTTCGCTGATCGATATCAAAGACATTGCAATGCCAACTATAGACTTGTGTACTGCCTGAATTCAGGCACTTGTAATTAAATAAATTATGGCGCAATGCAAGAAAGTATGGGCCACGGCCATCACATAATATATTTTCATCCTTCTAGGCCGAATGTATCTTTTCTATGGGAACAAAACATCCGTCCAGTTCCAGAGTTTCACCCCAACAGTCAGTTATCCTGGTGACCTGCAGAACCATATCCTTTTATGTATGGTGCTAGTAGTGAGAAAAAGAAGAGTTTGTTTGGGGTGGCTTTCAAGCCCTCGGGTACAGTATTCTGTTTGTGCACTGCTCAGAAGCAGTGGTAACCTTTTCCTTAGCCCAGTTCACAGCTCAACATTCAGACGAAAACAGTGGAGCCACTGGTGGAGGGAGGGGCTCAAGTTCAACAGGTCCTGAACATTGAATGCCTGAGTGATTTCACGGAGGCCCCCCTTATCAACATCAAATTCCGGTATCGTTGTTTGACATCTCAGCCTAATCTTCAATTCTAAAGAAGAAAAAGTTTCTATAACTGAGCAATCAAAGGCATTTCAAAGTGGTTGCAGTCGGAGCCTGCATATCCACTTTTGTGTTTGCACAGAGACCACTGAAGAGTCAGAATATGAAAAGCTGGAGAGGTTGGGATTCTAACCTTCAGAATTATGGCCAAAACCAAAACCAAACAAGTAGTATTTCTAATAATCACTAATTTACATTTTAATTTTTGCCTTGACATGCGTTTGCTTTGCGCATCCCTGCCTCCCACATTTCCGTGAGCTGCATTTTGTAAAATCCCATCAGCCATGAATTTATCATTTTATATCCTATTTCTGCTAATTATTTCAAAATACGTTTGGATTGGTCAATATTCTAAGAAGCCCCCAACAGAAAACAATCCCCAAAACCTGCTTCCACTTTTGATAGTCAGGGGCCTCTTATCCTAGGAAATGGATATGAGCAGTAGTTAACAATAACCTCATTCTTCTTGCCTTTATCCCCCTTTTAAATTGTCAATAATGTTATTAAATAATGCAAACTCATGGGTCTGTTTGTCCTTATTTCTCATTTCTGATAGCTATGGCGGGACATTGCAGAATCTCACTCTCAAATTGCCTATCACTGTCAACAAGTTTTTCCAGGCAACAGAGATGCAGTCGCAAGACTTTTTCCAGCGCTGGAAACAACTCAGCTTGTAAGTTTGCACAATGTGAAATAACTGGAAATAAGGAATCACAAATCATAGTTTGTATATAGATAGTCCTTGAATTATGACCATAATGGAGTTTGGCCATTATGATCGCAAGTGGTAATGGCCATTAAGCGAGATCTTGCTTAACAAACCTTGTTCTTCCTCATGTGGGAGTTAAATGAATGTGTGGGTTGTTAAGTGAAGCAAGAGGTGCTTTGTGAGTTGATGAGGCCCTGAGAGGCCTAGCGCAGGCTCAAGCCTGCCTGTCCTGTCCTCCCAAGGCCTCCCGAGATACCCAGTGCTCCATTTCTCATCCTTGAAATTCCCACAATCCTGCTTTGTCTCCCCCCACTCGGTCCTCACAGACCGTTTTTCCCCTAGTCTGGTCCTCACAGGGCTTCCCCCCCACCCTGACTGGAAAGTCTATGAAAACTATATTAGGTCAGGCAGCAATGTGGCGTGATTCCAGAAGCAGCTGCCATTTCTTGAGCAACTAGAATTCAATGCAGTCTAGAAAATGGAGGCCACTTCTGAAATTGCACTATGCAGCTATTCATATTGCAGTGCTGCTGAAATCTTCAAAAGGCAAATGTGTGATGGGTGATAGGTGCTAGGGATGCAGTCCTAGCCCTACTGGGACTGGGATGGGAGGTGGCCTGTGGGGATCTGGACCTGGAGATAGGTGAGAGGAAGTGTTGCAGCATCCCTGTAGTCGGTTGTAAAGGCAAACGACTTCAGGAGAGCTGCAACAGCTGTAATCTCAGAATGGGTCATAAGTTGCTTTTGGAGGATCCACCATAACTTTAAAAGATCACTAAGCAACCCATCATTAAGCAAGGACTTAATGTGAGAGAAAAAGGGAGATGGTGGGTTTGTTTTTTCAAAGGGTGGGATATTTAGAATTCTTCAGCCAATCAATCAGTGAATACACATGAACTTGGCAAAGTTCTTCCTTTTTTTAATTTTATCTTTGCCTTTTAAAATTGTCACTGTGACTAAGTAAATGGTTCGACCATCACCATATATGACTGAGGTGCAGAAAGTATGTAACAGGATAGATGACTAAAAAAATAGGGCCTGAATTACTGATCTGATCCTCTTCTGCAGGCCACAACAGGAAGCTCAGAAAATCTTCAAGGCAAACCACCCCATGGATTCAGAAGTGACAAAAGCAAAAGTAAGTTGTTTTGAATGCTACGAAAGACTTGCAAGCTTTTATTTATTTCAGGGCAATTAATTCAGTTATTTTAATTTCAAATCAGGATATGTCTACAGTACTAATTTGCTCAGATGAGTGAAGATTAAAGCTTTGGATATTGTGATTCTCCAGGGCAATTAAGGAACACATTTTCTTCAATTGTTTAGTATTAGTTTGGGAATATTAGTGTATTATATTTAGGACTGGTTTTTTTAGTTTTTTTTTTTTATAATATCAAATCAATGCATGAACAGTGTGGCACCTGGGCACCATACATTCCAACACAAACAAAACTGATCAAATTAAGGATTATTATTACATTCAGTCAATTTATGAAATTCCCATTACAATATACATCTATCTTAGGTTACATCTATCATTATTCAATTATTCCACCTATTTCTCATTATTACTTCCATTTTATCAACTAAAAATGTAATACATTAATATTCCCTTTGTTTCTATCTCTTACTCTAGTTTTTAATCATATCAACCTATATTCAAAAGCTTTTTCTTTCTTTCCTGTCTAACTTCTAATCATATCATCTGCCTAAAAGAAAAGAAAAAGAGAACGAGCACAAAGAGGGAGAGGTAGGGAAAGGTAGTTCAAAACAGCAACCAGGAGCAGGAATCATCCTTCCATCATCTCTTGCCTGCTTTATATTTTAATTGCTATGCTTTAAAAAGAGAGAGGTGAAGGGAAAAGCAAGTCAAAGCAGCCATAAAAAAAAAAATCCTCTACCCATCATCTCTTGCCCTTTGATACTTCAATTGCTATGCTTTTTTTTTTTTAGCTTGTCTCCCCCATTCCTCTCTTGAGCCTTCATCTATTTCTATTTCTTGGATGTCCCATCTAAGTATTCCTCCCATCTCTATCCTCTTTCACTGCCTATTTTCTAAGATTTTTATTGAGGCCCCTGCTTCCATTTCAGGGATATCTTCCAACTCTTTTAATATATTTTTCCCCTGGTTTAATTCATCCATCATTATTATTTTCATTATAATCTCTTCCTTGTCTTCTTCCTTGACTTCTTTCTTCTTTATTTCTTCTTCTAACTCCTCTTTTTCCTGGGCATCCCGGTCTATAATCATCATCCCTTATATAGTTTTTTCCATTAGATCCTTAAATCCTTTGTCCATAATGTCTTTTATATTTTGATAAAGTGATCCCATCTCCTGAACAATTCCACTCATTGTATCTTATTTTTTTAAGAAGATTGATTTTTCTCCAACAGTCCAAAAATTATTTCTTTAGACTTCCCTTCAAGGGGTTCAAATGTCTATTTACTTAAATCACTTCTTTGCAGTTTCCTCTTTTGTCAGCAGGTGGCACTCTCCATTTAAATTTCAATCACTAGTTTACCAGTGTATTGTCCTTGCGTTGTACAGGAAATACGAAGCAAAGTAAGTTTTTTTTCTTTTTTTTAATATGTAGATAAATCCAATGTTTAAAAATACCTTCCCAGTAGCGCTTCTTCCCAGTTTAGGAGTCTATTTATTTCATAATCTGTTGTTTATTCTCTTACAGTTTTCATTCCGGTTTGGTATTTAAAAACAAAAAACACCCCAAATTGCTTAAGCGCCACTTTAATACTCAGCTCTGGGCAAATAGTTCTGATTATTTCTTGAGATACAATTTAAAACATAAGAAAGATCCTCTCCCCCAGTTCCACCACAGCTCACCTTCTTCTCTCCAGCACCAATCTTAGCTGTTATTTTCGATTTGTCCCTGCTTTGTAGCAGCCATCTTTAGGCTGCTTCTTCTTCTTGCCGTGGCTAAGGGGAAATAGAAACCCCAGGCCAGACAGGAGAGCTGCATCTCTCCCCAACCTCACAGGGTGCCCCCCCCCCTTTATTTCTCCTCCCCTTCAGGGTGGCTTAGGCTCTGTCCAGAACATGAACAATTCAGCACAGGGAATGTGGAGACCTGTTCCTCAGTGTCTGTATCACAGGGACGTCAACCCTGCCCCCCTATATTTAGGACTGTTGATTTTTCCATTGATCACCAGATTTTTTTTCTTATGAAAATTGGCATAACATCAAGCTAGAAGAGGCAGCCATTGTATAAATGTCTGCTTTGCAGACTTCTGAAACAGTTTTGCAGGTATATCTTTCTCCCCTTATTAGCTTTCTAAGGTGGATGTAATTTGCAGCGAGACCCTCTATTGCAATTGTATAGTTCCAATTAAGTTCCAGTCTATTCCTCCAACAGCTGTTAGGTTTTGGCAGTGCACTCCTGGAGAAGGTGGATCCAAACCCTGATAACTACGTAGGAGCTGGAATCATCCAGACAAAAGCACTGCAGGTTGGATGCTTGCTGCGACTGGAACCCAATGCTCAGGCACAGGTGAGAGCTCCTAAGAACTCTGGGACTGAAGGGCTGAATTCAGGCATACAAGTTGGCACTGAAATAAAAGCATAAAAATTGAGAAACTGAGACTTCTGGGAGTTCTAAGGAATGGAAATATAGATAAAACTGAAGAAGTGGTGTAGCTGAAAGCTTACCAAACCACCAAACTAATGTGAATAACTGAAGGGACATAATGTTTAAACTCTTCTCTTTTAACCATCTTTCCTTTATCCTTCCTGCAGATGTACCGGCTGACCCTTCGTACCAGTAAGGAGTCTGTTTCAAAGCACCTTTGTGAGCTGCTTTCCCAGCAGTTCTGAGGCATCTGCCACATCATAGGAAGGGGAGGCCATTCCTGCATACTAGATGCCTCTGTACATCTCATCCCAACATTCTCCAAACCAGGGGCCTCCAGAAAGACTGTACTGCTCCCTGCCTGTTGTTGTGATAACCTCTGTGTTCTCATTGCCTAGCCCGGGCCAGCATCAAGAGGGATAAGCGAGGGGGGAGCAAAAGTATGGACCCTTGGTTGGACAAAATCAAATTGGGTTAGGGGAGGGATGATGGGTATTGGTGCAGGGCATTCTTTCAGTAGTAATCATCCCCTTGGGCAAAAAGGCAATTTTTGGAAGAAAGCTAGCTTTCGTCCCATGCTGTAAACTGGTCCATCTCATTTTGGGATGAGGCTGAAATCTGTGGTCTTAATTCTTCACCCATTACCACTACTTTTATATGATTTAAGCTGGCATTTTAATTTTGTTTACAATATGTACTTTTAATTTTTCACCCATGGACTTTCTCCTTTCTGCTGTGGAAAGGGATAGCTTCTCTGGCTCCCCTTGAGCTGGCTGGGGGGAAGGAATAGGATTGTGTGGGTCTATGGGGAGGAAGGGGTATTCTTGTAGGCAGTCGTTTTGTGTTTCTTTGCCTTGTGTGTTTTCCCCATGGACGGGGATGTAAATTCTCCTTTTCCTTTGCTATGATCATTCCAGTGTTACAGTTACGTGTATTTGTGGGAACGTAATTTTGACAGCATCCTGCCTCTTTCTTCAGCTCTAGAATGAAACTACATGAAGATGATAGGAAAAGAGACAATTGCTTTCCTCTTCTGCCTCCCCTCACCATCTTTTCAATTCCCAGGAAGAAGTGCCTCAAGCAGGTACAAGAGTTTGGGAGATGGACTCCGGAATGCTGCCCTCCATGCATTTTGGAAAAGAGGGGAAGGGTTCAGATCATGCTAGTTTGGGGGTGTCCCAGCTTCCCATGCTGGCCCGGGCTCCATGTTACTCTGCTGTGTAGGTGTTAACTAGCGCATCTTAGTTTATCTGGGTTTTGAATGCCTGTATCTATCTCCATGTGACTCTAATAAAACCGTGAGAGTGGGGGAGAGCCAGAATCAAGCCAGGCTGGGTCCACCCCACACCGCTGACTGATTTGTTGCATACTGCTCTTTATATGTGGACAGGGTAGAAATGGATAGAGAACAGTCCCATACCATACAGTGTGCCTGGCCATAGCATTTGGAATAGGATGTTCAGCTAAGTTATATAGAACTAGTTACACGTAAGTTTGAGTCTTGCCAGGATTGCTTTCACCATGTAGTGGAAAGCATGGAAGCTCTCTCTTCCTTTATGCAAAGATAGGCAAATATGTATGCAGAAGAAAATAATGTCTTCCTCATTTGATGGGGTCCTCATTTATAAACCACTTGTTCAGTGACCATTGAAACTTACAATGACACTGAAAAAGTGGCATTCATGACTGGTCTTTAATTTACAATGTCCTGCAGTCATGCATTTGCCATTTGCAACATTTTTTGCCAGCTTTCTACAAAGTCAATGGGGAAGCCAGCAGATGGTGATCACATAACACCCTCACTTCATGACGGCATGAACTTTACTTAACAATGACAACTAGAGTTGCCAGAATTTTTGTTACTAAGCAGTGCAGTCATGATGTCATACTTTACAACTGTTATTGCCTACAAATGTACTGCAGTCTCAATTAGTATTGTGAGGGCTGGTAGTAGTGGAGGAAGGCATCTAAAAGGGCTTTTCCCACTCCCACCTGTAGATACAGTTTTAAAAAGTGTGACAATTAAGAAAGTGGAAGACATACCAATCATTCCAGTTATGTTCCTCATAGGTGTAGAAAGCACAGACTTTGCAAAATTCCACTTTCTCATTGCTTTGCCCTTTGAGATCTCCAAAAGCTAAGCCCAACATAAACAGTGTGTTCCTCATGACCAAAGTCTTTGGAGAAAAAAAATAGCTACTCCTTACTATGATGACTCTCTCCCCCCTCCCACCCCTATGCACTGTCCAAGACTGAAGCAAATGAGTCTCTCCCCTCTGCATCTGGCCTCCTGGCTTGGTTGGTTGAACTCCCTCAAAATTCATGAGAATATTTTAAGGTAAATAGATCAAAATGGCCCTATTCAGTATACTTTTTATTACACAGTAAAAAAAAAAAACAACCTTGTATATGATCAAGGCTCTTTGCATGTTCTAATGAAACAATGACAGAAGCAAATGCAGAGTGTATAAACAGCTAGCTATAAATAAGGGTAGTATCAATTTCTGTAAACATAACTCTTTTCCCTCTCCTGCACTGATTCATACACAGAGTTATAGGTGAATGCATGAGAGGTAGTTCATGCAGTGGTTGGAATGCAGTGTTGCAGGCTAATTCTGCTGACTGCCAGCAGTTCGATCCTGATCCCCTCAAGGTTGACTCAGCCTTCCATCCTTCTGAGGTCGGTAAAATGAGAACCCAGAATGTTGGGGACAATATGCTAACTCTGTAAACCACTGAGAGAGGGCTGTAAAGCACTATGAAGCAGTATATAAACCTAAGTGCTATTGCTACTACTATGCTGAAATGTATTTAAAAGGAAAATTTAGTTCAGCAGTTCTGTCACGGTGCAGCTTCCATACCTATTTATTTATATCCCGCCTTTATTATTATTATTATTATTATTATTATTATTATTATTATTAATAATAATAATATTAATAATAATGCAAGATGTGAACTTATATTTCTTTCTCTTTTCCTCACAACAACCCTGTGAGGTAGGTTAGGCTGAGAGAGCATAACTGGCCCAAGATCACCCAGCTGACTTTCATGCCTAAGACAGGACTAGAATTTGCAGTCTCCTGGTTTCTAGCCTGGTGCCTTAACCACTAGATCAAACTGGCTCTCAAGATTAATTGCTGTATTCTACATAATTATATCATGGTTAGGGCTAAGTCTGACCCAAGCACCTTAGTGTATAATGTATAATAAGTTATAGGAGACAAAATTATGTTAGTACATAATGTTCATTAAATTATGGGAGACAAAATTCTTACCAATGTTAAACACATGGAGAATAGAGACCAAAGACTAGTCATCACCGACAGCTGTATTAGCTGTATTGCCTCCTACTTACATAAGAGGGTAGAAGAATTGAATTGCATTGAATTATTCACTTTCTCCTGTTTCTGAAAATATTTCCATAAATTCAAAATCCTTCTCTGCAGCCTAAATCATCATTTGCCACAGAGAAAATTTCATTACAACATTTGAATGAAAATATGTCATTCTAACCATACTGAGGGGCTCTAGCTCGCCAGTCCAAATTTCATCATCAAGTTCAACAAGGTAAGTCAAAAGGCAGAATCTTCAGCTGTGAGAGCCTGTAGTGTGCAGGTTGCTAAGGATCGTAAAGCAAAGGTAGGTACATCTGACTTCAAGATTAAGAAGAGCTGGTGCTGCCTCCCATGGATAACGTAGGCTTTGTGCGTAGTATAGACCATATAACAGTGCTGAGGACAGTGGGGAAAACCAGCATGAAAGTCCTCCTGCAGAGGGACTGGAGAAAAGAAATATTTATGTATTCATTTAATTATATCCTGCCTATATTATTTTTACAAATAATTCAAGATAGTGAAGATATCCAACATATTTTCCTCCTCCTATTTTCCCCACAGTACCCTGTGAGGTCTTTTGATTATGTTCTCCAGGAACCTCTCAGGTTTGGTATAAATGCCCCAAAGAAATGCAACAAAAAGATCAACTCTGGGATGTACTGCTAGATATTAAAGAATGCTGCTATTTACTCTAAAAAGTATTTCAACTTTCAACTATTTTAGTTTTATTAAAGGATATACATGGCCACCAAATTTGTCATGTCCAATTCAAGCACAAATTTGCCTATTGATTCTTTTACTCACACGGGACTTCTTCCACTTTTTATGAATAGTCAAATGTTTAAAAGCTCAGTGTGCAAATATTTTTCTCAACAGAAAGACGGGAACATACCTGTGTATTCTTCTTGTTTCTCGCAAGGAAAGTATAAGGAAGTAACTAAAGCATAGAAAGAACGGAGGGCACAAAGCCGAATCTTCATGGACATTTCAGATCCTATAAGAAGGAGATTAGGATGAGATTTTAATAGGCCACCCTTTCATATCCCATAAATTGTCAGCATTTTGTGATTTTCATAATTACTAAAATAGAAGGCGTTCCTAATTTGTCTCCTCCTAGTACAAGAATGTATGAGCTATACCTTCAGTTGAAGCTCCATGAGGATGCACCGTAAAGAGGCTTTTCCTTTGGTCTTGATTAATTAGCAGTAACCTGTAAAAGATGAGCCATGGCTTATATCTGGGGAAATAATGATAAAAGTACTGCCCCTAAATGTCACAGGAGCCTTTAAAAAGAGGACAGAAAGTGGTTTAACACTGAGTCCACATGCTAAATGAAATCAGTTTCTTGGACGACCTAGAAATTTGAAACTCACCCCAGGATACCAGGAGAAAGGACAATACCAGGTTGTAGGCATCTGGCAGAGCCTCTGGCAGTTGCCTTCAGCAGATCCAGCAGTGGTTGCCAAAATTGATTAACTAGCTGCAGAAAGAAAGAAAAGTTTCAACAGACATTTGGCCCCAATGGGCATCTTGCTATTTATATACCCCTTAGGCAACTCCAGCACGCTGAAATCATACCACTGAAAGTCAACAGCAAATGGCCACTATTGTTGACTTTTTTTTTTTTTTTACTTCTCTGGACTTTAAAGGGTATGAGTGAGAGCAAAAGCCACCAAGAAATAAATTGCTCCCATTCCCATCCTTAAAATCTCCAAAGTCAAGTAGAAAATGTTATCACAGCTCTCCACCCAGAAATTTGGGGGGCTGCATTATGGCCACTAATCTGAAGTAGCTGCACACTACTGACTTCAAGCACTCCTCCTTCATTAAACCCATCATGTAAATCAGCAATGGCCAACAAATAAAACAGTGAATTTAACCAACAGATGGACCAGTTCCAAGTGTACTTTAAGAAGGGTGATAAACTGCTCTTCTAGATAAAGAGATCAGATACATTTGAAATACAGCACACTCACCTCATCAGTCAGGCACTGTAAGGAGGGATTAGGCCCACAGAGCAATACTACTTCCATATCAGGCACAAGCTGAAAGGTCAGGAAACGGTGCGGAACCTACTGGAACAAAGGGACAGAGAAAAAATAGAAATACGGACTTACATATCCTCACTTCCTCCTCAAATCTTTAACCTGCTCACCGTAGGACTGCCTTGGGGAAGGTAAACAGGCAGATCGCGGGAAGTATGTGGAGGAAGGGAACGTACAAGCCACACCAGCAGCATGGCCTCTGGGGCTGCAAGTTGCCACCACTGTTCAGTTGCACATAAGATATGACTGCCCACAAGCAGGCAACCAAACCGGGATTCTGCTGCAGAGGCAAAAGCTTCTAGGCATTCCTGGAGCAAGAAAGAACAAGACAGCACTAAGATTTGTTTCTAATTCTCAAAATCCCCCTTATTTGTAACTTTCATTACTATAAGAAGTGAAACAGATTGTAAGATGCAACAAATAACTTTAGAGTGGGCACTATCAACACTTCCTTTACTTCCACTTAAATCTTCTTGGGATTGAACAGCTACTGTACAAATCCACAAAAGTAGTTGCTTTGGCAAGGAAGCAACAACAGATGTAAAATGTATGTTCATGCCTGAACTATGTTCATCAGATTTGAAATACTCCAAATTTCTAAGTTAATTTAAAGTAAGTTTTTACTTTAAAAGTTTTTGATGGAGAAATTGTTCATAGATTTATTTTTCCAGAAGTATTTTTCTATCAGCTTCCAAAATCCCAGACTGAAAGACTGAATGTGTTGAGACATATTGAAGGAGGGAAGAGAAAATTAGATGGTCCCACCTGCAGAATTGCTCTGGAGGGCATCACAGCACATTCCACACACTGGGTCAGATCAGCACAGCTATTGCCCGGATCCAGGAAACTGTCAATCAGTTTATAACATGACTGGAGAATTGCACAAGAAATAATTAAATGGCAACGGATTAAAATATTCCAAACAACTGGTTTATTAGGTAGTGAAATGAACAGTAAGAATTACCACTAATTCACTTCTTCTATTGCTAGAATTTTTTGATGTAACATAGGCCTGCAGAAGACATAACTGCTGCAAGCTAAAGGCAGGTGGTTCCAAGAGCAAGGAGTAGGCATAAAATATTCCTCTATATAAGATTTGATATAAAAGCATCAGCAAGAGTCTCTCAACTGACCAAAGAGTCTGTTATACCGGGGGGGGGGGGGGGGGACATTTCCTAAAGATGAATCCTTTGTTATATCTCCCAAGTAAAAATTCCTCTGCAGCCCACATTTTTGCCTTCCATTTTCATATGATATACACCTATTCCTCTTTACATTTCTAGTGACAGTTAGGGCAGACATTACCTTTAGATCCTTTTTGAGACGTTCAATGTTACGAACATGTGTTAGTTCCTCCAAGCCCAGAACTAGTACCTGCATTAAAATACATCATGCCATTCAGATGCAGAAACAAGACCTTGGGAAATTGGGTGTGTTTAGAAGGGAGAAAAAGAGCATAGGAAAGATATTTTCATACTTATCCTAAATACTACAAACTTTTCCTGTAAAAGTAGACTAACTGATCTTCTATAAAAAGAACCTCTAGGTACATCACCATTTATTTCCCCATGATGAGAAAAATCTGGCTTGTATAGGCTCATAGGATTTTTAACCGTGTGCATACATATAGTATATATGAACATATAAAATAACTGTTTTACTTGAAATTATTTATATGCCCAATGGACTAGGTCAGTGATGGAGAACCTCTTAGACAAACTGAGTGTGTGCGCATACCCAAACTGAAAGGTGTGCGTGTGAATGTGCACATGCACGGACATGTGAGCACATGCACGGATGTATGTGCATGTGTGGACATGCGCACATGCGCAGCACAGACCCAAAGAGCAACTGGCCAGCGGGAGGCGGGGCATCCCAACACCAGCATCACGACAAGAGGTAAGATCTTTTTCTTTTGTGAGCTTCTGTTTCATTGTTTTTAGGGAAACAGAAGCTCATGAAAGAAACACCATAGAGATCTGACCTGGGGTGACGGCGCACATGCCAGCAGAGAGGGCTCTGTGTGCCACCTCTGGTACGCGTGGCATAGGTTCACCATCATGGGACTAGGTTTATCTTCCAATTTCCTTTACAGAGGTCATTTTTGATCACTCACCATGGCATTGAAAACATTGTCAAGAAGCTTTCCAAGACTGAAATCACTGGCATCATCTTCTGAGGACAAGACAATGAGCGTGATACTGGGAACAACAAAAGAGAAATTGAAGATAGTGTCTGGGTGCAAAATATTTAAAGCAGATAGACAGAAAAACATATTTCCCATATTTTGCAAGTTTTCAAATTATGTAAAAGAAATCCAATATTTCACCAAAGCTTACTGGAACTTGAAAATCATTAAGAATAGATAAAATAGCTGCAAGAGATTGATAATTTCTAGGAATACCCTCAACTCAGCTGGAATGTCCAGTCAGTAGAAACTGCTTTGTGAATACAGAAGTAGGGAAGAGAATTTTGTTAGAAACTTTCTTATATTTCCCTCTACTCTCTGAGCTGTCTTTATAACAACTTTGTAAATAGGAATTTGTACCTGAGGTTGTTTTTTTCTTCCTTCATTCCAACCTTTTCCCATTTTTATACTGTGTATTTAAGAGCTCTGGAAATCTAGAAACATATATTTAGTTGAAAAGATGAATAAAAACTACTGAAGTGGCCCAATCTGCTATGTTAATCTGAAATAGTTGGAAGAATTTCTCTACATATAAAATACATTTTGAAGATTAATAGAACTGGAGAATGAAATAAGGTTCCCAGTTTACTCATTTTCAACTTTTTCATTTTAGCCATTCTAGTTTAGAACAGATGTCAGAAGTCTAAAATAAAGGCAGCATAAATAATGTATCTTGAAATGGCAAGAATAAAGAACAATTTTTTCTTAACCCTAGCCCTTTTTAACTCTTCCTCCTAAACTGAAATAATTGCACTTTGGGGGGGAAAAATGCAAAATAAACCTCCCTGAACCTAAGCAAGCATGAAGAATGAAAGAAAACCTTTTTCTATATTGTCTTAGCATGCAATAAAAGTTAAAACAACATAAATATATGTTAGAATGCCTGCTTCAATAAGAAAGCCCAATGTTGTATCATGAATGAATGGGATATACAAATAAAGAAAATAAAATTGAATTGTGGGTATTTGTATATCGATTTTTGATTTTACATTATTCAAGACAGAAGTAGTTATGTAATAGACAATATTCCAGAAAATGAATATTGAGTACCAATAGGATCATTTGTTGTTATTCCACATAATTCAGTAGGCATTAACAGCCTACTGAACAGCCAATGGGAAATCAGCAAAAATTAAAACACAGATTGATACAGGCAATCCGTATTTCTGTATCACACAATTTTCTGCTTCAAGAACTTGAACTGGGATGGAGAGGGCTAGACACTTCATATTAAGAGAAATTCAGGAAACCAGAACCAAAAGGACCAGGGGCAATTAAAAATAGTTGATTTGCATTGGATAGATAGCATTCTGATTATTATCAGAAGGTTCTGGATATCAATATTGCAATTATGAAGAATTAAATATTTTCAATATTCTAAAATTATTGATGCTAAGGACTTAATTTATAAAACCTGAAAGATCTTTTAATTCTTGAAAAAATTAACGTATACACATTAATGCCTACTGAAGAAACAGACCACCAGCTCACAACATGGCAACTTGGGAACATACATATTCCTGATTCTGCATACCTACTATGAAACACTTTCCACATCACATGAGTATTCTCTGTACGGGCTGCTATCAGCTGGACATCTAAATTGGAACCAAACATATGAACTCCATTCAGGGAGCCAATTACAGAAAAGGGTAACTGGGAAAGAAGAGATAAACATTAGTGTAATATTCATATAAGAACATATGAAGGTACGATAGACAGCCAGACAATTGAATTATCTATTTAAACTGAAAACAGTTTTCCAGCTGAAAAGTGGTTTTCCTCACTTTTCTTAACAGATAACTTTTAGCAAAATAGATTAAGGCAGAGCACTTGCCAAACCAGATATATCACTTTTCTCACCCTCATAATAACCTGGATAACTAGCATTTTTAATTCTTTGATCATGCTAAACTTTAAAAACTTTAATTTTAAAAAAATCAAAGGAAGTGTTTTAGCACTGTACTATGACTGTTCCCAACTAAACTACACAACAAGTCAATAATTATCTCCTGACATGCAGCATTTTGGCAAGCATATATTTTCAATAGAAGAGAATGTATGTAGCTCAGAGTTGAACTATGGAAGTCCTTGTTGCTCTTTGAGTTTGGTAGTTTGGTTGCCAATGCCATTATCCAACTAGGTAACATCATCAGTGCTAGTAAGCGTGGGGTTTGCTCCCTGTTTATATACAGTAACTTGCCCTGCCGATGTTGGTGGGGGTATGTTTTTTTTTCCTTTGATAGTTCTTTGATTAGGATATTGTTTTCTGCTTGGTTGTTTGTCTGATGTTGAGCCCTGCCTATCTGAGTGTTGGCCACTGGAGAACAAGAAGCAAACTCCAAATTCATTACTACTGATGATACTTAGTTGGGTAACTGTAAGCAAACAACCTCTCTGCTCAAAAGGCACAGAGACTCCACAAAACAAGTATTTCTTAAAACAGTGATTCGCTATCAATTGGAATGAAAAGCAGGATGGGCACCTCTCACCTGCTGCTTTGTAGACCCTCCTCTGCTCCTACAGTATAAGGGCACTCCACTACTGGCCGTAAGGCACAATAAGGTCACGGAATTCTCCGCCTCCTCCAACATTTTGAGCCTGGCAGCCTTTTTCCACACTGGACTTGCAGCGGGAGTAACTCTACCGAACTCAAGACTCCGCTGGTTCTATTCCTTTTGCCTAATATCCCCCACATTTCCACTCTCAGGACTCAGTGCCGCCATATTGAGTAAGCCACGGTACGCCGGGAAGTAAGCAGAGGCGATGCTATGGTAACAAGTGCAATCATGCCTGATTGGTTCTTTTTTTCTTTGCCCCCTCCCACCGGCCTGTGGTTCGTTCACTCTTCACGGGGAGGAAGCGGGTGAATAAAAGAATTTTTAATTATCAAGCGAGAACGAAAGATAAATTGATGACTGTTTCCTGCGCGCATGCGTACCGAAGCGGACCCGAAGGAAAGCGTTTCCTGTGGCTATAAAATGAGAGAACTCTAGAAGCCGGATGTCTGTTTCGGGTACGGAGATGGGGGAGTGCAAATGGGAGGGGGAGAGAATCGAAAGTGGGAGAGGCATTTATTGAAGCGTTGAAGGGAGGGTGAAAGAAAATCCGAGTGCGAGGCACAAATAACCTTCCTGCTTCTCCTCCCTCGTCTCATTTCAGCGAAGCCAAAACAACACCCTTCCCATTTCTCCTTCGTGGCTTTGGTTTTAATAAATTAAGCTTTGAGAGTAAAACCAGAGCAAACAAAGACTAAAATATAGCAATATCTGTTTTTCAGTTTCTTAATTTACGGGATTCATTGTAACAAGATGCTAGTGACAGCTAATAATCTGGTTAATTTTTAAAAAAGAGGTAGAGTCATGAGCGGCCTTTCTAACAACTAAAGGGCGTGGCAACTAGCTAGTGACTATCAGAATAGCTCTTGATGAGAGTAGTAAAGGTGAAGAATAAGAAGGAATTGCCTTCATCCTTATAGGAGGCTTCTTATAAGTATCTGTTAACTGCTCTGGGAATTAAATGTTGGTCTAAATAAACTTTTCCCAGAACCTCTAGGGCGTGAGGAATACTGGAACTGATTTGTTGGGGTTCTGGCTGTGGAAATTAGACAACATTATGTCATGGAGAATGAGGTTTTGCAGATATTGCTGAAGTATAATTCTCACTCATGCCTCAGAATCTTAGGCTAGTTCTGCTGGGAGTTATAGTAAAGCAACATTTAGAGATAAAGCTTTGGGTTGCAGGAATCTTTATTTTGAATTAATGGATGTATGGCCCACTGTAGTCCCTTTTGTCTCTTCTTCCCTATGCTTTCATTCCACGTTTCATTTATTAGTCTCCTACTTTTCTTGTTCTTTCACTTGTCTAATGTAAATAGTTTTCTTATCCAGAAATAGTTCACTTACCGTTACGTTGTACAGCATTTAGTCCTCTTTTAATACTGAATAAATACTAAGAAGTCATTTATTTCAACTGGCTTTTGTTTTTAATATTTTGTTTTACTACTCTTCTATGTTCTCACCTCATGGTAGCTGAAGGAGATGGTGGTACCAATGTTGGACATGCCTGCTCAACCTATCGGGATGGTTGCTGATGTTGTGTTTGTTATTGAAGGCACTGCCAATCTTGGACCTTACTTTGAATCTTTGCGCAAGCATTATCTTCTTCCTGCAATTGAGTGAGTATTCACAGACTCAGGATATCATTTGTTTCCCTTGATTTGTCAGTGGAGGATGTAGGTAGAAAACAATGCTAGTAAAATGTGATTGGCTGTTATTGGGTTTTGCATATACAATTTGCATTCTGACTTTAGTAAGCCTCTGTATCATGATTTGTAGAAACTCTTCTGATGAGATATATATGATGCATTTTTGTGTTGGGAGTATGTTGGAACAAAGTTGGTAGTAAAATAGAGGATCTTTTTTTTTCCTAGTTGAAGAAAAATACTTCAAGCATATAGAAAGAATAAACTTCTAGATTCCAAATGGTGGAGTCTCAGGGAAGAAGATAAATTGAGAATAAAAGGAACATTCCAGATTAAATTAAGAAGCCCAAACTGATGTTTTATTCACAGCATTTAAATTAAATAAAACAATATGTGCAGTGTCAAAGTAGTCAGTACCATTAGCCAAAGTGAGGGAGTCTTCTCATGTAGCAGATACAGAGCTTTCCAGCTATATGCCATGCAAGCTGTTTTAAACCTGTAGCCTAATCTGGGCCAACTATCTTGTTACCAGTGTTAAAGTTTCTCCAATCAACTCCTTCTGTAAAAACTGGGAAGGTGTAATATTACTTTATATGCCTCAGATAAGAAAACATCTTCAGGTAGCATTAAGAGTTTTTACAATTTATTCTTAACTCTATCAAATTGGTAGATGATAAATTGTATTAAATAACTGAGCCAGAATACCATTTATGCACTTCAATGATTTCAATATAACCTGAGCAAGATAATAGCAAAAAATCAGGTATTGGGTTTGGCTAAAAAAAGCCCTGCATTATAGAGCCAGATTATTGAGGGATTGCCTAGCTTCCTTAAGATCTGCTCAGGGGTGTGCTCTGGGTTGCTTCAATTAAGCAATGATCTCTCAGGATCCCATGAGAATGCCTTTTATATAGCAGTGCCTGCCCCCTGAAACAGAGATTTGGATTATCCGCTTGAGATCCAAATGGTCCCCACAGCTGTTTGGAAGAGGTGTGAAGATCTGGATCTTCATTCACCCAGATCTTTGGTGTGGGAAAGTAAGACCATATGCTTGTGATGACTCCCTTGGAGGCCTGCTCCAGAGAGGATGAGCTCATTCCTGGCACATCAGGAACTGGGTTAATTAATGACTCTGAACTGCTGGCCGAAAGAGATTTATGGAGGGCTTTGGCTGGGGACAGTTTACAGGTCAGTGGAGAGGAGGAGGAGGAGCTGCCTTCCATGTTGGATCCCTACAGCATGTAGAGCAGAGGAAAGACCAAAGGAGATCTGCCAGATTACTCAGGAGAAGGCCTCGCCCATCTTGATGGGCTGCACTGGAAAGCTATTTATCATGGCAGGCAGAGGGAGGCGTTGCTAGGAATAATGTGTTTGGTTTATAGTTGTGTGTGTATTTGTGCTTCCTGCTTGACTTTGTGCCTTGGAGACTCTGAACTTCTCTTGTCAAGCAAGCTCTCATGGATGTACTTTCAGTTTTGTTTGGTGGCTCTAAGTTTATTTGGTGGACTTGTCGGAGCAACTTTCTATTGTTTTATGGACTATTGGCCATTGCCTTGTGGACTAATCTTGGTCTGCTTGTGGCTGGAGTTATTTGGGACAATTCTGAGGCAGGGTGAAGGGAACTGCTGGGTAATATTAATAAACTCTAAAACGCACATGTATGTGAGTAAGTGGGACAGCACAATGCTTCATCATGCTTGCTTCCTTTTATCTTTATGTTTTATTGATTTTGTTGTTATTGTGATCTGCCCAGAATCATTGAGAGTTAATCAGTGTACAATTAGTATAGGTCAGTGATGGCAAATGTTTTGGGCTTGTCATGTCAAAAATTCAGAAAATTTCTTTCTTGACTCTGCTGGCATGTTAACCCCCATCTACCACCCTATAGCAAAAAAAGGCTTTTCTGCACCTCCTGTCCAGACTTTCTGCTCTCCTCCAGATTCTATGCTCCAGAACCTCTGAAAATTGCATGAGAGGCCCCTGCTCTTGCAGGGCCTATGGAGCTGTAGAAAAATTACATGAGAATGCTTGCATGATTTTCAATTGCCTAAGAGACTGCCCAAGAATAAAGTCCTCTTGTGTGACTTCCAGAGAGTTCAGAGGCCTGGCATGTCACCAAACATTGCATGGTATGTCATCAGTGACAGGCATTTTATCAGTTTGTCATCACTTGCCACAGTTACATAAAAATGTTAAATCACAGCTGCAAGTTCTTTAGCTGGTATTGGCCTTCATACACATCACGTTCTCAGAAATTTAGGTTGTAATGTATTGGCATATATATATGCAGATCCAAACAAGCCTTTTGTAGTTGATAGATGGAGATTTTGTCAATTTGCAGATTTTCTGTGTGCTGCCCAAAATTTTTGGTAAGGCACATATTGTGCCAATAACCACTGAGACAACCACAGTCATTCTTATGCTATAATCTGTCAATTGCAATTTTCAGAACTTGGTATTTTTGATCTTTAGTTCTTTTTCTTCTACCATTGCCTGGTATTGCCACATTGATTATGGCAAGATTTCCTTCTTTCTAATTACAGTTAAATTTGATATCATGAGCCAAGAGGTTATCAGTTGTATTTAGAAATAACAATTTAACCTGTTCATTTTCTACTACTTTTTTAATTCTGTTCCCACCAATTTCTCATTAGTGACAGATGGTAATTTTTACAAATGGTCCAGTGAATCATTTTTGCTACTGTCTCATGTTGTTTATAATCAGTTTGTGCAATCTTCTTGCACAAGTTGAGTATGATCTACTGTTACTTCTGCCTCTTCACACAATGTGCAGTTTGAATCATTTGACAAATTTTCAATTCTGGCTTTGATTGCATTAATTCATATAATTTGCTTTTAAGCAGCCAGAATCAAGCCTTCTGTTTCTTTTTTTAATCTTCCAGTTGTAAGCCATTGTCAAGTTCATCTGTTTTCCCCTCGATCTTTTTTAGAAAGTGACCATGTAATGTTTTCCCTTGCCAACATTCTGTACTTTTTCATTACATAATTTTGATATTCATATTTTGTTTCCCACACATTCAGTAAGTTCAGTTTTAATGTGTATCAATGTCTGTTCTTGGTTGTCTTTTCTAATCAGCTAATACATGCTCTTCTTCTTCAATAGTTCGTTTTGTATCACAGGTTTAGTCCAGGTTTTAATGGCTTTGATGATGTTTCCACAATTCAATTTTGTTTTTAGCAGTTTTCATGCCCTGGATATATTCTTTACTAAACTTACTTTTAAGTGCCCCATGCTTGATATTAACTAAATATAAAATGTCCAGAAATCTATTGACTCCTAGTAATTTAGTCATTTGGTATTTCAATTCCATTATTGTTTGCAATTTTACCATGATTTAATATTATCATCATTGAATTTCTGGTGCCATATTTATTTAGGATAACTTTTCTCTCCTTTTGTTTTCTAAGAATTTCTTCTTTTCATTTTCAGGTGCTTTAATGGTGGTCCACCAGCTGAAACAGACTTTGGAGGAGATGTGAGTGTGAAAATATTTTTGAGATTCTAAATTGAATAAATAGGGAGCTGGAAAGTGCTGTCTGCTAAGCAGAAGATTAGTCTTGAAAAGCCTTTTCCAATTCTATGAGACAGGAAAATGTATTCCCCAGAAAAATAAATAGGGGGCAACAAAGGTCTGAGAATAGCCAATGCCATTTTGGCATACAGTAGGCCTATGCAACCATACATTCATTCTCCAAAAAGTATATGAGAATTGAAACATAGTAACTATATCTAACACCTTGCCAAACAATTCTATATTTGTATTTCTGCACATTTTAATGCAGTCTTTTGAAAGCAATGTAAATCATAAGTCGTGACATTCATAAAACATGTCACCACGTGATAGGACCTGTTTTTATGACCATTTTTGCAGTGTTTGTTAAGTGAGTGCTATAGCTGAAAAGTGAATCCACAATTGTAAAGTAAATCCATTATTCGCTATGGGCCATTTTTGCAGAAAATCAGAAGCAAATGCCAGGTTTTGGTACAAATATTATAAAACATGATCACATGATCACAGGACCTTGCAAACAGAAGGAAAATAATGTATTATTTCCTGGTATGGGGGAGGTGCTGAAGAGAGAAAAGAAATATTCTTTGTCTGGATATGGGAAATTCATTGAGAGTATTCATTTTTTAAATGATGGAGATGAAGTTGCTTTGTCCTTTTTTGGAAAGTTTCTGACTAAAAACTGTGTAGGATTTGGAAGCTTTCTGAGGTGTTGAGATGATTCAGATCTTGACCTAGAAATATTTGTTTGCAAGAATTTTCTTATATTTTTCACATATGTCTGTTGCAGAAGGAGATAAAAGATAGAAAGGGAATTTTTCAATATATATTACATCTTTGAATAAAATACTGATAGTTTATGTCACTAAATACACAGTGAAGTCATTTTAAATACAGTAATTCCCCTTGTATAACTGAATAAGAAGGAATTTTAAGATCATAATTCTTAGATTATCAGAATTATAAGATCCAGAATATGTTGAACTGCATTCTTACAAATTTACACCATATTCTTGCAATTTGCATGTTGATGCCAGACAGTTGCCAACCTAGACTGGAACCTCTGTTTATGTGAAAATGGTATATTATATAAATAGAAAATGGTCGTCTTGGTTACAGGAAGAACAGCCAAATGTGTAGTCTTGCCATACTTGCTAATGTCATCGTTGCTTTAAATTTCTGTTTCAATCATAACAACCAACTTTCTCTTTTATGAAGATAAAGTATCAGCACCCAATCTGGGTGAAATTTGAGTCTTGCACATCTAAAGAGCAGCAGATTATATGTATACTGTAAAAGAAGCCAAAATCCTTAATTAGTAATAGAGTTTAAGCTAGGAAGAGATCATGTTCGTGTTCATGTGAATCAGATTTTTGAAAATATCTCTGCCCAGAAGCCACTTTCTATCCAACCTCTATTTTCTGACCTATTCTACAGTATGGTGGTACCCAATATAGTCTGGTGGTGTTTAATACAGTAGACTGCGCTCCTGAATCATATGTACAGTGCCATGCGCCAACGAGCAGTGCGTATGAGTTTGTCACATGGCTGGACAGCATTCAGTGAGTATAAGACTGTGTTAATGCTGTTTCTTCTTTAGAATACATTTGTTTGGGTGTAAATTTTTAAATGTGGTATCTTACTAAAATGAGAAAAATAATCTTGGTTTGCTAGTAGAACAAACGTTTAGTCAGTGCTATGCCAGAAGGTTTTCTTCTGCTTGTGACATGTTTTAGCCTGTAACCTGTGATAGGTAATATCTTTGGCTAGATAACTGAACAGGATGAATTTAGAAATTCATGTAGATGTCTCAGTCTAGCAAGAAATGGAAAGGAAGATTTAAAAAAAAAAACCTAAAGTCGAATCATAGCAATTGGATCAGAAGCGAAGATTCCTGGGTTCCCATAAAATATGTGTGTTATAAGGCAAGTGGTAAAATTTACCATTGTACCATCAATGAAGACCAAAACATATCTAAGTGGTGCCTCCAGGATTTTGAAATTTAGATCTCATAATTACCACCCATGGAAGTTCAACTCTAGCTCATTTGGGAGACTCAAGTTAAAGGATGTAATTGTGGGGTAGTTTGATGCTGGAATTCAAACACAATAAGTATTATATAATTTTTAAGTTTAAATTCAGACATCTCAGATTAAAAGATTTTAGTTGCAGACCCAACTAAAAAAGGATAAAAAATGATGTCTGAAGCCTTTGCAGTTCATTGATTTGAAATAAATTGAAGTAAGCTAGATGGCTCAAGAAAGCTAAGGCACAAGACTAGAAATTGAGGGACCATGAATTCTAGCTCCATTTTAGACTCAAAGCCAACTAGGTGCCCTTGAACCAGCTGGTCTTGCTCAGGCCTAGGAAGGAGGCAATGGCAAACCACCTCTGAAAAATCTTGCCAAGAAAACTCCAGGAACTAGTCCAGGCAGCTACCAGGTCTCAAAACTGATTCAAACAGATACACAGACACAAAACTGGATCAAATGTTGACTCAAATATAATAGCTTTGTTTATGCCAGAATTCTATCCACAGCATAAAAATAGTTTTGTTCAGATTCTTGTATTTCGGTTTACATTCATAAAAGAATTAAACTTGTGGACTCATGTCTGAAAAACAAACTAGGATATAAAATCATTCATCATGGTTTCCTGATTTGGATATAACTATACTACTGGTTTTAGATAGCCTTTTGGTTTGTTTGTTCATTACACTAAGGACTGAGCTAAATTGAATAAGGCTTTGGTCTTCAGCACCAGTTTTCATATCCTTTTTGTCTTCTAGGTTTGTGGGTGGTGGTGGTGAGAGCTGCAGCCTCATCTCGGAAGGTCTCAGTACTGCCCTACAACTCTTTGATGACTTCAAGAAGATGAGAGAGCAAATGTAAGTGATCATGAGGGATGGAGGGTGGATGGTGATGGAACAAAAGGCAGAAAGTGTACAAGTACATTCAGTGAATGTACTTGAGAGCACCCATCTGTTTTTAATATTAGCACACATGGTCATGACTCATGTTGGGATTGATTTTGTGGCTGTGTAATTTTTATGCATCTGGAATTGTTTTACACTACCAGGAATTAGATTAAATAAAATGATTTTTTGTTTTTCTTAATTTTTATTGCATTTTTTAGATACATTAACTTCAGTAAATCATGCAGTATCTAGAAAGGAGAGATATGGCATAAGAATTTTGCTTCTGCCTATGCTGTAATTTTCCTCATGCAAATTTGTTTTCTTTTAAAGTAATGCTACATGCTTCCCATTTCTTTGAAGGGCTTATAGTTTCAGCGGTTGATCCATGAGAATAGGAGTTCTAATATTTGTAATATTTGATCTGTTTACAATTTTAGGACAGTGAAGAAGTGAAAATAGATTGATAAAACAGTTGACACAGCTCTTGAAACAATTGTGATACAGGAAAGCTGTGATCCAGTATATTAGCGCTTAAAAGAAAAATTAAAGCAGCTTATTCAACTACCAGTTTGATCAGAGACATGTGGAAAGGAATATTACATTTTTCACATCACTTTATTGTTTAAATGCTCCCTGCTAAAACTGCTGTGAGCTATGAAGCAAGAAAATCCAAATAGTGTGGACATGAAAACCACCCAATATGCAGATAAATTCCATTTCATCCACAATCACACTAAAGAAATAATATGCTTGGTTTGTTAAATCCCTCACTCAGATGGGGTATTTCTTCAGACAAGATAGTCCCATCTACAAACATTAAAATAGAGGGCAAATTTGTATCAGTATTGCCCATGTAGCTTACTTTCTACAGTTAATCCTAGATGTTACAAATGTTCATTTGAAATTTAGAGTGACACTGAAAAAAAGTGACTTTTAACTGGTCCTCGCACTTATGACTGTCATGACTCCTCATTATCATGTGATCAAAATTAGCAACCAGCATGTAATTATGACAGTTGTAGCTTCCTGGTCATGTGATCCCCATTTACAATCTTTCCAGCTGGCTTCTGCTAAGCGAAGTTAACAGGGGAAGCCAAATTTATTTAATGATTGCATGATTCATTTGACAATTGCAGTGATTTGTTTAGCAACCATGCCAGTATCAGGCATGACTCACTTAATAACTGCCTTGCTTAGCAAAGAAAATTCTGGTCCCGATTGTGTTTGTAAGTGAAGAGGTACTTATAATAATGCACCGTGTACTGAATGTGTAATTCCCCAATTTTCATTCATTGTGTCTTTTTTTGGTTGTCTCTCCCAAACAGAGGCCCCACACATAAAGTCTGCATCCTTATCTGCAACTCGCCTCCCTATCTGCTTCCAGCTGTGGAGAGTACCACATATTCAGGCTATACAACAGAAAATCTGGTTCAAAAGATTGGTGAGGTGAGTAGAAAATGTTCGGTAGCCATTGCTCATTTCATTTCGGTAAGACATGTTAATGCTGCCCATCATTCCTCTATCTTAGTGGCCCCCAACCTTTTGGGCACAGGGACTGGTTCCATGAAGAGAGGCTTTTACACGGACCGGGTGTGTGTGTGTGGTTTTGAGTCCTGCCTGCATCCCACAGATGGAGCCTTTCTTGTTTGTGCAGACCGGTTTCTGGAATGTTGGGGACCCCTGCTCTATCTGAGTCATCTCAAATATCAACGCATTGTGGCCTAGAGGAAAACAGATTTCAGCTAGTTATAAGAAGAGCTTTTTTATGTTGAAGGAGTATTATGCTGGAATGCCATGTGGTTGGTGGCAAAGAATGGCCAAAGGCTAATGTAACCAGAGATCTCAATCCTCTGACACCCCTTTTTCTCTTTCAAGCCTCAGGGTGAGAAAATGACATATATTGTCTTAGCAGATGTCTGAACTGATCTCCTACAGGGGATTGTCTATCTTTGGTGGACTCAGTAGCTCACCTTTTGTCTCTTAATAAGGAGTCTAGTATTCCCAGGGAGGAAAGTAAATGAATTGTTGCTAAAATAATATATCCTCAATTGAGAGCATACTTTTAGTAGTGATACAAATCAACTCAATATGTACATTTTCTAGGTTTTATTTTATCTCTTCTTTTGTTACGAAAACATTTTATTTATAAATTTGATTCTTGCATTTTCCATTGTGAACATTTCCTTAATCAAGAAATATTTTATGGTCTTCACCATTTTTATACTTCATTGTTAAAGCTAAGTCTAGTTCCTCTCCTATAGACCCAAGTTAAATATTATCACATCAGATGACAATAAATCTTCTATAATTAATACAGCCTCCAACATTGTTAGAAAGAGGCTTAGAATTTACTTTGCAATTAAAAATGGCAAACACCCAAATGAGAAGACATTTGAAATAACATTGTAAAATTTTGTGAAATAACTAAGACTAAGGAGGAAGACTAAAGGAAGAAAAGGGAAGGAGTAGACCGTTAGATGTTTTTCTTCAGTTTGCCTAAACTGGGCACGCTCCAGGTTGTGGGTATCCAATTCCATAGTTGCCATCCATGGCCTTGGTGGTTGGGTGTGAGAGACTGTGAGGATTAGGCACAGGAGGACAAGGAGTTCAGCAAGTGGGAGAAACAGCACAATGCAGAGTGGAGGCCATTGAAAAGAAACATTTCCCCTTAACTAGTTTGCTACAGTTATTGGAAACTTTTTTCTTTCAAGATTATGTTTTTACCCTGACTAGATAGCTATCCAAAATGTGTGTAATTCTTGCTTCTTGAGTTTGCCAGCCTTATGGCATTGGGGAATTTTGAAATTTATTTCAAAAATCTAAAGGCTATCCAGGTTGGGGATTCAGCAGATTTTTGTACTGTACATGTAGCTTGTCTTTCAACCAATGTTGCTTTCAAGATGGCAGTCTACAATCTGGGAATTAAGCAGATCACTACTAGCTTAGCTTTAACAAAGATGGTACAACAGTGTCTTACATATCGTCTGCAGTTGTGAGTCACTTTGCAACATGCTAGAAGACTAGTGGTAAGTAGAAGTAATGCCCACAGTTTAGGAATGAGAGTCTGCATAAGTCTCTACCTCAAAACTAAATAGGGAAGAAATGTATAGTTCTTCTCTCTCTTTATCTACTCTGTTTTTCTTCCCCAGCGGGGAATTCACTTTTCTATTATCTCCCCACGGAAACTGCCAGCTTTGCGCATTCTCTTTGAGAAATCTGTGACAGGGAACATGTTAGAGACTCAGTTGAAAGACTACAGCCAGGACCCCCGGCACATGATCCTTATCCGTGGTATAATGCTTCCAGGTAAGAGCTGGTCTTGGAAATGTGGATGAGGCTAAAATAGATCATACTGGATTGTTACAACTTGTTTAATTTAGAGAAGAATGAAAAGAGTAATACAAGGTGTTTAGTACCCTACAAAGGGAAAGGAAGAGAGGAGAGACAGCAGGGAGATTTTATATTGGTCCTTGGACTTGCCTGACTCTCTCCCTGTTACAACTTGAAATTAACTAAAGGCTCATTAGGTTCATGTTGTAATAATCTGATTAGATTTCTAAGTAGATTCTCAGTCATCCAGGCAATGGTTGTCCAAAGATGACTTTTTCAAAAGGCAACTGGACTTTGTTTTTCCTTGAAGATATTTCACTACTCATTCAAGAAGCTTCTTGGATGAGAAGCAAAATGTCTTCAAGGAAAAACAAAAACAAAGTTGCCTTTTGAAAAAAACTAGCACTGGGACATCTGATTAGATTAAGACTTGTTGTATTTAGATGGGGTTTATTAAAATTAATGGGACTTACAAATCACATCTAATATAACTCAATTTTTTAAAATTGTACCTGTTTCACTTTCTCCTCCTTGAAATTGTTGGGGGGGGGGAAGAAGATATGGGGAGTGCTCTTTGTCATAATCCATGCTGCTTTTTTCCACAGCAAGTATTTCAATTGTCTGCCCTGTCTCCATGGTAGCCCAAATTTGTTTTCCAAATGGATCGTGTCTTCAAAGTCAAGAATTGGGCTTGTTTAGGTTTTTTGGGGGGGATGGAGAGGAGAGAGATTTTTTTTTATAATCATGAAGTAACTCAAGGGGGAAAAGAATAATGACAAAGCGTTTTATATTTCAGTGCCCCAGGAATCTCGGGTTTTTCCTTTTTATCAGAAGTCCAGATTACCAGCTTTTATGGCATCCTGTTTCACTATGCAAAATTCCAAGCAACAAATCCTGGAAAATAGAGGAATAGAAATTGGATTTCAGTGCATTTTTGTTTCCGATTTTTCTTTACTAGGATAAGCAGAAGCAAATTTAAATAGGAGACTGATCAGGCTATAAAAATATGCTTGAACTTAACAAGCCATCAAATTCAGATATCATAGTAAAAGTATCCATGGCCATCCAACTAGGAGAAGTAGAAGCTATAGTACTTATTCACCTCTAGCACTTCCATTTAATGCATTCACATACCTATTTTTCCAATATAAAAAATTGGAACCCAGCATTTTACAAATAATGTATTAAATTGTAAACGTATTACAAGTAATACTGAGCAAGGTTTCAGCTAATTGGGTGCATCCTGTATCCTCATTTTCTTCATTTTAAAGCATTTTTAAGTTTAGTGTGCTAGTATGTTTCTATTGGCTACAATGATTGCATTGGAATGGGTAACTTGTTGGTGCCAAGAGTGAGCCATATCATTAGGGAGGAGGGGGGGTGTTTGCAGGACATCTTACAGTACAGCTAGGACTTGCTTATTTTATTTTATTTATACAAATATTGATATAGCAAACTCATTTGAGTGAGTGATTTTATCACAACAATGAGAGCCAAAATATGAAAATAGTTCCCATGTATCACCAAGCCATGTAAAAACAATGATCTATGATCAAATTATTTTTTAAAAAGGTATTCTGTAACTTCTATTTTTTGTTTCTAGGTTTGTTTGCTTGTCATATTTAAGAACCACTTATTTCCCTCACAGAGGAACTATGAGCGGTGTTCAATAAAATATTAAATGGATATTAAGATTTAAATTAAGGATATTAAGATATTAAATGGATATTAATTTTAAATATATAATTTTATTTATTTGTTTGTTTGTTTGTTTTAATTTGTATACCGCCCTTCTCCAGCAGGACTCAGGGCGGCGAACAGCCAGAATAAAACAGAACATACAAAACATAATTTTAAATGGATATTAAGAATTGATTAAAAAGGGGGGGGGGCTTTTATGGCACCAGTCAGCCTCTTGGCTGCATGCTTATCTGTGCACCCCAAGCAAAGGTGCAAAGCCACGTTCTTGCATCTTTATGGAAGCCCAAGAGAAGGCAGCTCACCTCATCTTCAGAGGGGGCAGTGGTCCACAGGGCAGGGGCAACAGCAGAGAAGGCTCTTCTCCTGGATTCCATTAGTTGGAATTCTTTGACTGCCACATATCTTCCCTGCCTGCCTGGGTGGGGCAAGCTGATGTAATGGGATGAAGACAGTTCCGGTATGCCAAACATTTAATGGAATAAAATAATAAAGGATGCATGCTGTGGGTCCTATCAGCCCGATTATTCCAGCTGGTGGGGTCCAGGAGGAGGGCCTTCTCTGCTGTTGCTCCTTTCCTCTGGAACATCTTGTCCCCCGATGCGAGGCCGGCCCCAACACTCCTATCTTTTTGTAAGGGCCTAAAGATATGGCTGTGGCAGTCGCTTGGGGTCTCGGTAGCAGATCAGCACAATGGAGGTGGTTCGTTGAGTAATAACAGATCTCATCTTTCCCCCACTTCACTCCCATCCTCCTCATGTGTCTTTGGTTTTAATGTAAGAGCCTTGGTGGCGCAGCAGACTAAAGTGCTGCTAAGTACCACCAGCTGCCTGCAATTACTGCAAGTTCAAATCTCACCAGGCTCAAGGTTGACTCAGCCTTCCAGCCTTTCGAGGTAGGTAAAATGAGGACCTGGTTTGTGGGGGCAATAAGCTGACTTTGTATAAAAAAGAACACCGCTTTGGGGGGGGGCAAAAGCCCTACTAAGCAGGTATATACAAAAGTATGAAGGCTATTGCTTAACGCATTGTAAGCCTCCCTGAGTCTCCGGAGAAGGGCGGCATATAAATCGAACCAATAAATAAATAAATGTTCAATTTTAACTTTTTATGTTTTAGCTTAGATGTAACTGTAACCCAGAGTTATTCTATGGTAAGATGGGTGGCCAATATGTTTTATAAATGAATGAATGAATAACAGCATAACAGAGTTGGAAGGGACCTTGGAGGTCTTCTAGTCCAACCCCCTGCTACAGATTAAACAATCAATAGGTTTCCTGGCAGGGTAGGCTTTCTGAACCATAGGGGAGAAATGTTCCATAATGTGGGAGAGCATGATGGAAATAAGGTTTGTGGATTTTCACGCTCGTCACATGCTTGTATTTGTGTATGTATATGAACAAGATGTAATTGGCAGGAGGGAATGTGTCTCCTTGTTATGATGAATAATATAGCTTGCAAATCGTGCATATTATTTATTGTGTATACTTAATGTCAACCTCTCTTCTCTGCATGCAGTAGGAGGAGCAGGAGCAACCAATAACAACCTGCAGCCCAAACAACCTGTATCCCAGCCTCCCACAGTTCCTCCTCCACTCCCTCCAGCACAACCACAGGTTCTGCCACAAGTTTCTCAGCCGTATCAGGTACATCCTTTGCCCTCAAGTAACCAATGGTTTGGGACATTTCCTTTCAAAAATCTCCTGATTACGTCTTTCTGATTTAGGTTACACAACCCGCTACTCTTACTGCAGCCCAGGCAGCTGCTCAGTCTGCTGTGGAAGCCGCCAAGAACCAAAAGACCGGTCTAGGCACCCGCTGTGAGTCCCTGGGTGTCTCCCAGGATTGGGGCTAAAAGCAGTGCTTTAAAGTTTAGGCTTGGAGATGGGGAGGATATTAGAACAGAAAAAAGTATCAGAAGTGGTGATGATTATGGATGGTGAGTTATACATTCATGTTTTTTCTTTCTTTCTTCTGAACAGTCCCTTCGTTGAATACCATGCAACCAGCTTTCAGTCAAGCTCCTACGCAGACCCTTCCAACAGGCTCTGTTCCGGCTCTGACTCAAAAGCTCCCTCCCTCGTCTCAGTCTAGTCTGGTCTCCACAGTAACCACGGGCTCTGCCCTGATGGTTCAGCCCCCTGTGCAAGCCTCCCCACAATCTGGTGCATCAGCCATGGTACCTATGGGCCCTGATAGTTTTGGCAGTGGGAGGCAGACACTCACACAAATCTTACCATTTGTTTCCTTCAGGATGTGACTGGCTTGCCAACTGACTTCTGTGCGTCTCTTCTTCCTCTACCCAGACTAGTGGTGTGCCTCCCAACAGTATGAATGTGACTCAGCCGACACAGGCACAAATCGGAGCACCCCAGCAATCTATCCCAAACAAAGTGATGGCATGGAGTGGGGTGCTGGAATGGCAGGAGGTGAGAGCTGAATTATGGAAGAGAAAGAAGAAAGATTCATAGGAGCTCCTTACCCTGATGCATTTTGACCATGTATCCCGTCCTCTTTTCCTAGAAGCCGAAGCCAACTTCTGTGGATTCCAATACTAAGCTCACACGTTCCCTGCCTTGCCAGGTGTATGTCAATCAAGGAGAGAATTTGTGAGTGCCTCTGGATCATTTAACAGAAAAAAGACACATTGTTGATTATTTGAGAGCAGGGAGGCGGAATCAAAACTGGTGTCCTGATACTGGTAGAAACAAGCTGAATTTTGGAGGCTTTATGAAGGAAGAAGACAGATAAATATATCAGAGGTGCAATGAGTAGGAAGTAGTCAATTCTAATACATTGCCATCCTTGTCTATTTGGGTAGTTTTCTTACAGACACAGGCTATCTTTCTAAGTTATAAGGTCTTTTGTGAATACAGAGTCTTAATGGAAATAACAAAGGGAGTGGAACTCATTTTCAAAAGTTGGGAATTGCTGGAGTAAGTTCTGCACCCCCACTCTTGAAAAAAAAAAAAACCCCTAGAAGTCTTACAACTAATCTGGAATATAACTTTTGGGGTGATTATAACTGTGAACCCTCCTCCTCTAAAGACCCTGCCGACTATGTCTCAGATTAAAGCGTAGTGGGATGCTGATTTCCCATCCGGGAATCTTTAGGCCAGTGTTTTAAACCAGGCTTTAAATCCCATACTGGTTGGGGGATTTTGGGAGCTGATGTCAACTCATGTTGAAGTTGCTACGATTGAGCTAAAGACTTAAATACTATATGGTGAATACATCGTGTGCATGCTACCTGCTATTGTATTTCCTACTTTGGTTTTTAATTGCTTCCTAATGTGTGAAAATTATTACTTTTAACTGTACATAGTTTTGAATGTATTATTAGGCAATGATTAAATTAGATGAAACAAGTTAGATATGTAACAAAATGTTGCATTCAAATGTCATCAGTGTTTCAGTCAGTCATGTCCTTCTCCGTGATACTCTATCCAATATCCTCATTTACCTGCATTGCTTCTCACTAAGACACAATCATCATTCCTCAGCTGTTAAGCACATTCAGTCCTCTGAGTTACTTGTCCTCTATAGGGAACAAAGATTTTTTTTTGTCATCTGCAGACTAAGACGCTTTTTATGTGATACTATTTTGGAAATACTATTCCTGACCCTGCTTATATTTTCCCAAGGCAGTCCTATGTAGTCCTTAGAATTTTTTTAAAAAAATCTATCTTCCATAAATATTTGTTGATAAACTAACCAATAAAAGTGAAGCATGCAACAACTGTTAAACGCAATATGTTAATACAATATCTAGAGTACATTAACATTTGGAGAATTGTATTTTCAGTTGTTTATATGTGTTAGATGATAATGATTTTAAGCAGAGGTGGGATGAGAAATGCACAGCTTACTCTCCTCTCCTTGCTCTGTTGTAGAAAGGCTGAGCAGTGGCCTCAGAAGCTCATTATGCAGTTAATTCCTCAACAGCTCTTGGTAAGTGAAATGTATGTGATTTCTGAAGGCAAAGTGTGAAATAACACTATCAGAGTTTGCAGCAATCCATCCAGCACACAAGTAAAGAATTCAGCAGGATTCATTTATAAAAGAAACTTCTTTATATGCAGTAATATAAAGCATGATGCATTTATACAATATCCATGCAGTAGAAGACAGAACCAGAAGACAGAAACACAGAAGCTATATAAAGAGAGGCTATATTGCAAGGACAAAGCAACTCTTATATACGAATCAGTCAAGCTAAGCCACGCCTAGGCTCTGAGCCATCTGGGTCACCAAACAGTCCCCATTGGCTGATCTGTTACCATGTCTATTCCAATTCATGAAGTCTCATACACTGGCAAACTTCACAGGCAGATTCATTTTGCAGAATGAATGGTACCCTGGTATTGCCAAAATCTTTTAAGAGCTGCCCAGGTAAATATAGTGGCACTGGTTAAAACTTTATCTGTACACCCACATCTATAGGGATCAGTGTGGAGACAAGGTGTAAATCAGTGTTTCACAACTTTAGCGACTTTAAGATATGCAGACTTCAACTCCCAGAATTTCCTAGTCAGCTATGCTAATCGGAATTCTGCGAATTGAAACCTGCATATCTTCATTGGTCTAAATTCACCCTCACTTAATCTGCCTTGCAGGGTTTGCTGGATGAAGTTAAAATCTTACCCTCATCCCACCAGTCTTTATTCTAATGCCTTCATTATTAAGAACAGCAAAGAAACATTGATATTAAACTCAGCTTTGCAGATGACCTGAGGGGCATTTGAATAAAGAGGCCAGTCTTTAAGATTTTTGGAAATTCAGGGGTGGTAATATTGAGGCTGGGTCTGCCAAATCTGATTGATGCCCTTTATTGGGCTTGCTATTCTTGTTGCTATAGTGATTTTAGTTGTAACTATGGATATGGGAACAGCCTTGCCATGCTAAACAATTTTTAGAAGGATTAAACAGTGAAAGATGGTCTGCTTCTACAGGCATGACAGATGCCACACTACGGGTGGGCAGGCTTTTCTTCTGGAAGTCTTATGTACTGTGAAGAAAAAAGGGGTATATTGTTAAATTGATGGAGGTGTCTTAAACTTCTTCCCTGCCTATTTTGAAATCTCTTGTATTATTATATATAAGTTCTTATATTTTTACAGTAAGTCTATAGAATTAATATAGTTTGTCCTTCAGCTTTGCTTTTAGCATCACTAGATTTCCCAGAAATTTGTCTTAATTGAAATTATTGACAAATTAGCACGGCTTGGAGTATAAACAGATTTGGTTCCACCTGAATTAATCCATTCCTTCTTCACAGACAACTCTGGGTCACCTGTTCCGCAATTCTCGCATGGTGCAGTTCCATTTCACCAATAAGGACTTGGAATCCCTCAAGGGACTGTATCGCATCATGGGCAATGGATTTGTAAGATTCTACAATTGCTAAGATGTGAACATGGTTAAAAGAGTTTCAACCAAATTAAAGAAGTAGATGCTTCAAATTGAGGCTTGGTCATGATGGACAAGTTAAGGCAGTCTATTTTCTTTCCTGTTTGGAAAGCTGCCTCATGAGTAAACTGATATAATAGTCAAAGTATCAAGATATATATAACTGTATATACTGGTACTCCAGTACATAAAATTTCTAATACTACTGACACTTTTTATGATAGCCATAGAAAGTGATTTTAATGGAAAATGTCTAAACATGTTGGTGAAGTTACTTGCCTGGGATGTTATAAATCCCAGAATTGAATTCACTTGCTTAGGATAGTATAAATCCTGGAATTGTAAGTGGTAAACCATGATCTTACTGACATATCAGTGGGGTTTCTTATTCTCTCAAGATTGCTAGAAGAGATCCTTTGACGGTAGTGTTGAAGCAGTGGGATGATTAGTGAGGATCTTCTCAGTTTGGGTGACATTATTATAGAGGTCCCTGATTTTGGAGATGCATTAGTAGCTCAGTTTTATAAATTGCATTTATATACCTATTTATCTGTGTTCTTCCATTTTTCCTGATGCATTTAGTTTGGGTCAATATAGGTTTTTTATTTCTTCTTGACTTTTATATCTTTTTCTGATATTAAATGACTTTGTGATCCCTGAGAGAAGAGCAATACAGCATACACATGTAAATAACAATAAAAGATTTCATCTTGGAAGGACATTTCTCAGAATCCCCCACCCTTTAGCCAATGCACTTTTCTTGTCACATGAGCAGGCTGGCTGTGTCCACTTCCCTCACACAACACCTTGTGAGGTGCGAGTGCTGATGCTGCTCTATTCCTCCAAGAAGAAAATCTTCATGGGGCTCATTCCTTATGACCAGAGTGGTTTTGTCAACGGGATCCGCCAAGTCATCACTAACCATAAACAAGTTCAGCAGCAAAAGGTCAGTAACTGATTCTCTTGGTCTTATTTTTTCCCCCTCGGCTGTATGTTCAAGTTTTTCAGCAGACGGAATCTGTTGAATTCTAGAGCTACCTCAGGTGTGTTCCTTAAGAGAAATACCAGTTTTGTCTCCAAAATTATAGACTTCCTTTTACTTTTAAGTATATTTTGTGTTTATAATTTGTTAGTAAACTGGAAGATAAGACCTATTGATATTCAGCCATTCTATATCAAATTTCTGCCTTGAATGCTATGCTATGAAAAAAACAGAAGGGAAATTTTATAATTGAAAATTACTTCTGAGTGTGTTGAAAAATTACCAGAGACTATATTGTAAATAGTTCCAAGTTTCATTTAATACATTTCTTACAGTATTTTTTGCTTGGTAATAAATTGATGCTGTGCCATTTCTAAGCATATAGCATCTTTAGCTTTAATTCCTGAACCAAGATTTTTGTATTTGTACAAAATGTATTTGTGCTTCTGTATGGAAGTACAGTCAAAATATTTTGGTCTCCGAAACATTTAACACTGGCATTGTGTAATACTAAGCAAGGTCTATAGGGTTACAGTTAATTCCGGAAGGCTGTAATTTATTTCTTCTTCATCTCTCTTTGTAGCAGATGGGGGGTTCTCAACCCATGGGGTCCACACCCAACACACAGCCCTTCCTGACAAAGCAGCCTGGCAGTTTGCCAGTAACTCCAGGAGTCCAGCAGCAGGTAAGGCATTAGGCAGAGTCGATTTTGCCCTAACTGTGTTTGGGCAGCAGTCACACAAGACAGGAGAGAGATATCTATCTCTTGGCAGCATGTCCGGACTTAGAACTGCATTACCTGTTTCCTTGCCTCACTGGCCACTCCTTGTTGGTTTTGCCCCTTCCTTTATCTTTTTACAGATGGGTGGGCAACAGGTGAGCCCCGGTATGCCTCAGGTGGGACTCATGGAAGAACGGCAACAGGGTTTGGTGAGTCCCTTGTAGAGGTGGAAGCTGCTGTATGTTTTCGAAGTAGATTCATCCCATCTTAGAATCATTATTTTCTTGCAGCTCCATTTATTTGGTCCTATAAGATGGTGCTCTGGATGGAAAGAGGATGGAGGCTAAGCAAATTTATCTCTTGGTTAATTCAACATTCATTTCATAACTGAGTGGTACACAAGCTAAGACCTCCCATAGCCTCCCATACCCTGCCATATATTGCCAACAAGCTAAATTTAAGATGATAAGTGAGAAGGATGTTGTTTACAAAAGGATGTAATTTAACTAATAAACAAATTTAATATATTTTTCACTACAGTGTAACTAGCAAGATGGCTTTCAGCATGACATATACAACATCACCCTAAAAGAAAACAGCATTTTGGTTGGAATCGCCCAGTGCTTGCCTGGCTTTTCATATACAAACCCTCATTCTTTTTTTTCAGTCTATTGATGAATAACACAAAAATGTTCCTATTATGGTTCATTTTTCCCAAATATTATTTGGGCTTGAAAGGACTTTCCCATATTTAACTGGCCTTCAGGCAAGGTTTCTTCATATCTTTATATTATTTGGTCATTGCAGAAGTCCTTCAACTGCACTCCACATAGTGAGATCAGCAAATCCCTGTCAAAAAGTTGCATTCTTTTTGGCACTAACCCCATGTTTATTGCTGGTTACTTGCAACACCTTTGCAATGGTCTTTATCAATTGCTGTGTACATTCTTGCAATGAAATATTTCTTCTCCTTTTCATAGATGCAGCTCCGAGTGCAGCAACCTCAGCCAACTGCTCCACCTACCAACCAACCTCCACAATCACAGGGTCCTCCTCAGGCTGGGCCACAGACCAACCAAGGAGGGGCCATGCTTAGGCCCCAAAACCCAGGAGCCAACCCTCAGCTCCGAAGTCTTCTTCTGAGCCAACAACCGGTGAGTGCTATCTTTTGCTCTCCACAAGCCCCCCCCCGCCCCATTTTTTCCAACTTTTTAAAACTGAAGAAGTTTGCTGAAATGTTAGAGCCGTCCAGCACCGCAGCTCCTTTGCTTCTAAGAGCAAAGAGTGGCTGCATTGCTTAGCTTAGCTTAACTGGCACTTGTAATAGTCTGAAAAGAATGCTATGCTTCCCCCTCTTCTATATACAGCCCCAAACTGGAGTCCCTCAATCCCAGCAGCCCCTTCACCATCTACAGCAAGGGTCTTCAGGAATGTTACCACACCAGTCCATGGGGCAGACTCTTGGGCATCAGCCTCCTGGGCAGCAACAGCTCCAGCTTCCTGGACAACCTCTCATGCACCAAGCTCCTGGGCAACAGTGGCCAGCCCAGATGGCACCACGGCCACAATTGCAAGGTATGGGTGGGCTTGGTCTGAGTTGACCAAAAACAAAAACTGCTACTCCCATCCCAGAAACAGCTGCAAGCAGCCAAGAGTTGGGATAGGATTTTTGCTTTTGGAGAAAGGAGCTATTTCTTTCAAGACACATTAATTTGCAGAGGTGGGGGAGATAGATTTGAGAGGAGCATATGTCACTATCTAGTTGAGCAGGTTATTATCTATAGAACACGGGCAACAGATGTGAAATACAGTAATGTATAGTAAAGTAAGAGCTGTGATGATGCTATTTCCTGATGTTCTGACTATCTTAAGAGGGATTCATTGATTAATGGGAACAATATATTAGCTATTTCTGGGGATGGAAGAGAAATAAAGGCCGAAATCTTTTATTAGGATTCCCTTCTGGGTCTAGCATTTGTTCAGAATGCCCAGTGGATATAAAATTAAGCAGGGCACTATAGCTAATCCTGTAACCAGAGATTCTTCACTGCTGTTGTAAAGCCTCTTGGTGTTGTCCCTTCTCTCCCAGGTCAAATGCTAATGAACGCTGGTCCCCGGGGGCCTGTTTCTCAACCAGGCCTGCAGCAGGTTCCTGCCCCCAGCATCATGGAGGATGACATCCTCAGAGACCTTATCTGAGGACGCAGGATTCTCCTCCAGTGTCACCCAGTGCTGAAATCATCTCTGTAAACTGGGAAGATGCTTCCTTTCCAGAGAATATTCTTTTTTTCTCATTTGTAATTTTTTTTTTGTTCCTGTTAAGAAATATTATACACTTGCATTGAAGTTGGTCTTTTCTGAGATTAATTCTGTTTCTCACTCCATCTGCTGCAATTTTAGGAATGTCACCCAGTTCTGCTGTATTTTAGGTTACACTAAGAGTTCAGGCCAGCTTCCCAAGTTCCCCAGTGGGTTTTCAATTAATTTTGGTATAGAGAGATAATTAAATGAAAGGAGAGGGAAATAAAAGTGATCCTATTGTGAGGTATGCTGAAAAGTTCTGACCTAAGTTCCCATATCTCTCAAAGAGCATATATCTAATGATTTAAAACAGGGGTGTCAAACTGGTGGCCCGTAGGCCGGATCAGTCATGCACAGGCCACGCCCACCACAGCTCTGCCAAGGAAAAAATGTCACAATATGTCACGTGATGGCAACATATGGCAAGTTTGACACACACGATCTAAATTAAAAATGAGAAAGAGCTATTTTAATAGGTGTACAAGGGGGGGGAAGGCTTGGGGGGGTTTCTTTTCCTCAACCTCTCACATTTGAGATGTGCTGGACTGCACCTCCCATTCTCCTCAGCAGTCAGAAGTTCAAATTCTGACTGGAACCCTAATTCAAATATCTCATTGCTTTCTTCCTTATAAATCCCTACAGCAACCCTTCTGGTTTACAACTGCCCAAATTATAGCAGTCCATGTACATTGTATTCAAATTCAGGAGTGGTACAGTGGCCTAGGGGTGGAGCTCTTGCCTCACAATCAGGAGGCTGAGTTCTATCCTAGGTAGAGGCATATATTTCTCTCTCTGGGTACACTGAGAATATATCTGCTGAACAAAACTCCGCATTGGTGACAGGAAGGGCATCCAGCCATTAAAACACCCTGCTAGCTCCATTCAGTTGCCCAGACTCTACCCCGCAAGGGATTATGGGGATCATTAAAAGATGATACATTGTATACAAATTAGTTTTCCAAATGCATAACGGTTTGGCTTTGCTTTCTAAAACACAGGCTTTCTTAGGGCAGAAGTAAAAATCTAAGACCAGGATGCTACATTTCATTTTAGAGTTTGCACTGTTCTCAGAAGCAGAGATAATATAAGATTATAATCATGGTGGGTTCTTGTAATATATGGTCCTGTTATAAAATGGAAAAGTAGATAGAGTGAGCATGCAAGGACTGGAATGAAGGATGTCAATAAAGCACTTCTACAAGTATATGCACTATTGTTTGCCTAGCATGGCATTTATTAGTTATTTATTCTTTATTAGGCAAGGCGATTTTGGTTGCTACAGAAGTCGGGCCCAGTGCCCTGAACAGTACAGTCACTGGAATCCATGTTACATAGGTCACAGTGACAACTGAGAGCTACAGGGTAGACGAAAGACGGATCGACATCTGGGGGACAGCCTTGCAGAAGTGCGGTCTGATATTGTACGTCTTTGTAAATGCAGACCTTTTGGCTGAAGGAGGAGAAGATTGGCTTCCACAGCAATTCCTGTAAAAGACATAGAGAGATTGGCTAGACATGACAGCCTTTTTTTCCCTACTGTTTCATGGGGCAGCATCCAAAAATGTCACAGGTGCCACCCTTCTGCCTAGTGTTGGCCTAATTTCTCCTACCTATTTGAGCATGTATGGCTTGCTACTACTCCAAACATGCTGCTACCAGCAACTTCCAGAGGTCCCTTCTCAATGCTATCAAAGCTGGGTAATTGGTTGGGACATTTGTTGCTTTTGTGGTGAGTAGTAGGAAGATGTAATGGCAAACTGGGCAGAAAAGTGTCGGATAAAAGCAAATAATGAAGAACTAAGGCTTTCCAAGTAACATCTTCTGTCTGGGAAACTAAGGCTGCACAAAGCCTCTTGATAGGAAGAAGTTGCCTGTTCTTCCAGAGTGGAAAGCAAAGCCTGCTAGGCTGTAATATGTATCAGAAAATGCATTGTTCAGGGGTGTCTGTATTTTTCCCCCCAGTAGTAACCAAGCAAGTGAAGAGCAATACCTTCTTGAGTCAAGTAATTGGCCCTATTTTATGAAGGTTACAATGTCCTTAATGTTAAGTCCCCAAATGATTAGGAGACTGAGGAGTGAATAGCTGCAAAGCAAGCTCCGAACCCCGTCTGGGCTAATGCTTAGGTAAACTCCATGCAGGATTCATGCACCCATCAATTGCAGGCAACTCTCAAAGCATCCCCAACAAGACATTTTGTTAGCCACAAATTAACTCACAAAGTAATAGTTCCAATAAACATTACATCTACAAGATTTTATGATTCTCTCCAAAAATCATCAAGGGGAGAAATCTATCAGCTGTAAACCAAGGCCAAATTCCCTTTCCTGGTAGCTTTATCTTATCTGTCCATTATGTCTATGATTGCATAGGAAACAATCAGTAGCAGCCCCCATTTAGAGAAATTTTGTGTAGCAATGACTGAATGCAGGTTTTTTTTCAAGTCATTGCGTTGCCTTGAGTCTTAAAAGGGTGCTGGGATAGAGGGTAGCTTTCTCATCTAGGTGCCTTCTAGGCACATTAGCTCACACCAGGCATTATGGCCATCTGCTAGCTTGGGATAAGGAATGTTGTCCTAACACTTCTCAAGCGTGTTTGGTTGGTGATTCCTCCCTCACCTTGGTCTTACAGTAACCACTACAGATGGTAGTGGTGATGGCCATGCAGACAGGGCAGTCGTCCTTCTCAGCTGAAATGGTAGCATTGACAGGGCGGCAGGCTTGGTTGCTGCTGGCCATGCTGCTTTGGTGAATGGCACAGTGAGTGGCAGCCAGGAACAAAAATGTTGCTAGCAACGGATTCTTTACCTGGATGTAAAAGAGGGAAGAAATGAGAAAGATTTCATAGCTTTGGCATCAGTTTCAGAACATAGTTTAGAACATCTAAGGAGTGTTGTGCAAATGGGACTGATATTGTTGGGCAGCATGCACATTTAATAAATTATTATAGCTTCAGTAGGTAGTCTTGGTCTGCTGGATCTGCCTTTTATCACTACTGTTTTAAGAGTCACAGTCATAAGAGACAAACATAAATAAAAGACATAATATCTCTGAGCACATTCTGAGCCCAGGAATTTGTTGTCAGCACAAATATTGAACTGCACAGATTACAAGCTTTACACAAAAGTTAATTCACATTCCTCCTAAATTTAGCATCTAATTTAGATATGCAAATATTTATACTGATTTCTCTTTAACTATTCATAGTAACTATTTCCGGGTTTCCAATCACTGCCCATTGCCCAAATCTCTGCCAACAGATCATGATCTGTTTTACCACAGTCACTGGCATACCTGAAAAACGCTTGGATGCTAAATTGATTTTTTAAAATACTACCAAGTTATTTAATAAATGAAGAAAGGTGCCAGAATTGTGTTTATATACCTATACAAGGAGAAAATATTAGGGGAGAAAAGGGGGGAGGGGTAACTGCAGCCTATTATTTATGAGGGAATTGGGTGCCCTTCCTGAACTAGATCATCCGTTATCTATTATTTAATTTTCAATACCACATAATTGAATTACTGGTAATTTACATGAATCTAAATACATAACACAAAATATCCTTTTCTCTGAAAAGATAAAGATATGGAAACCTTTGAAAAATAACTTTTGTTAATAGTCTCAAGCAGATCCTCAAAAGAGTTCATATACCCAATCCATGCTTGCTAAGTAGTGCCTAGTGAAGCGCCACAGAATACTTCTTTTGACCAAAACATGTAGAGCAACCTTTCCCCAATGTTGATTGTGTTTATCACAACTTCAGAATTCCTAACCTGCATGGCTACTTTAGATGTGTCCAGCTCATCCTGAAGGCAGTCAGTTGGAGAAAGCAAACATAAAACTTGTTAGATGTGAGAGTTGGAAAGAATTGTTCAATCTCACTCTGTTAGTGAAGACTTATATTTACAGTATCCCTAACAATGCCTAGATTGATCAAAGTGAACCCACCAACTCTTCACGTAGGTAGTCCCTAACCACTGAGAAGCCTCTATTAGCCAACAATTAACTTATTTGCAATGTCCTATTATGCCAAAGCAACATACCTTGATCTGCAACCTCAGTAGATCATGTTAATGTGCAAGAACTATCATTGACCCAGCTATCTGCCGCCTCATTTGTACATACCTGCATTAACTTCATAGCGTCTCTAGGGCTGTCCTCCAATTGTAGTGTATCTGCCTCTCTCTTGCATTTTTATAGGGTTTTCCCCCCTCCCATCATACAGCTGATAAAAAAGACTCAAGGGCAAAAATCTAATTAATAACCAGGATGCAAAAAACAACAAAGGATTTTAACAGCATAGTCACAGCATTGTGTGACGGAACAGCATTTCCCTCTGGAAATATTGGTTAAGTATTGGCTTCTAGATTAAGGAGCCAACACTTAACCCACTTCATTTCAATCGGTGTTTCAAGTCTGTCTATTGATGTATCTTCATTTAATCAGAAAGTTGCCCAGCCTGCTGGACTTTCTCACTCTGTCCTATTTACTTCTCCACCTTTGTAACAATACTGTGAAGTGGATATAGTTGAAAGAGACTGAGCCAAGCTCACATTCATAATTGCGGATGGAGAAAACTAAACTCCCCAATCTGCTATGGGCAGCAACCTGGATACTATATTACAGTAGGGTTACCAGATTTGAGCTGCAAAAATCCAGATGATCACCAATTAGATGAAAGGACTTTTCTGTGCTTTTTTGATGCTAGCTAGTGATGATTTATAGTCTGATCACAATGGCTTTTCTAACTAGGATTTATATCTGGCAAGTTTCTTCATTTGATACTATGAAGATTAGACAGAATCCAAGTTTTATGAGCAGGAATTGGGATCAAGGATGGTTAGAACGTGAGGATCAGAACATATGTTTTAATAATAAAAGTCAATGAGTTTCAAGCATAAGATGTCTTAGACCGTGGAATGCACTGGGAACTCTGAATCCTTTGTTAGTGGAAAGATGAAATGTGAAAATAATAATAATAATAATAATAATAATAATAATAATAATAATAATAATGAACCAAAGAATAGAAAAATTGCTGCAGGTTGTGAAAATGGAGAACATTATAAAAACAACAGAAACAAAGGCAGGATATAAGGAAAAACAGCCAGATGACAAATTAACTAGATGGAAAACCAAAGCTTTGCATGGACAGCATTTGAAAAACATTGAAGGAAAATGTGATGACAACTTTATATGGACATGGCTTAAGATGGGAACCATTAAGAAAGAAACAGAAGGTTTAATACTCGCTGCTCAAGAACAAGCACAACAAATTAATGCCATGAAAGCAAAGATACAAAAATCCACCGACAATCCAAACTGCCGACTTTGCAACAATGAAGTCGAAACTGTTTCACATTTAATATGTGAATGCAGCAAAATTGCACAAAGCTAAACACAACCAAGTTGCTAAATTAATCCACTGGTCATTATGTAAAAAATATGACTTACCTGCAGGGTGGATTTGACTTAAATCAAACTGCTTTAAATCACGATTTAAATCACGATTTAAATCACTAGTCAGTAAGGCTTGATTTAAATCATAGTTTTCTACATAAAGACTAATTCTTGCTGGTATAACTTTAATATGCAAGTAGATGAAAAGTTGTTTTAGAATAACAACTTTTCATATTACTTTTTTTATCTCCAGTTTAATAGGTTAATCATTCATATTTGGACAACTTTTCTGTTGTACTTAGGAAGGAGAAAAATAATCATTACCTTAATAATAATGATTTAAATAGATTTATTCAACTGAAACAATAACATTACAGCATATGTTATTTGCTTAAACAAACATCCATGTTTGTTAACTAATTTGGCTAAACAAAATATATATATTTTAAGAAACTTAGACTGTCAGCCCAGCCTACACATGAAAAATTTAAATACTGTCCTCTGTAGCTCACTCATCATCTTCATCTTCTTCTTTATTCATAATCTGGAAAAGAAAAACAAGCTTTCTTGCTTTATCGGAATCTCAATTTAGAATGAATGAGTCCAAAGGAAGAGAATATTCTTTCAACGCCTGCAGAAGAAGCTACTGCATTAAAAGTGAAATCATTACTTGAACAGTCTCTAAATCCAAGTGCTTAAGTGACTTCCACCAGTTCACTGTGTGATTTTCTTTAAAATATCTTCAGCAAACATATATTTCTTGAATGGTTCCCCCTTAGCTTTGAAGTTTATTATAGTTGGCATTACAGATGGATGATTGCTGGATACCCATGTCATAGCTAACTCCTCTTCCTCAGCACTTAAGTTTTGACCCTGATACTGGATATTGACAATATTTGCCAAAAAATGAGCTGGAGACAGTACTTGTCCCATTCGTTCTTTTAATGCTTGTAATTTAATTCTGTCCATGTGTAGTTCTGTTTTTAAGTGTTCACTCAGTTCCTTCCAAATTTCAACAGCATCAGCAATAAAGCAGCTATTTTTCTGTATTTTGTTTAAAGCTTCAGAGATGGGTTTCAGGATGCTCAGCATATGTTCAACATTTCTCTTAAGCCCAATGTTGAGGATTTTGGCCGTGACAGTGCCATCTATCTCGATTTTCTTCACAAACTGTCATCAGAATAGGCCAGTTCTTGATATACTGCTGAAAACAGTCCACCACAGAGTTCCATCTAACATCTTGTGGGTGCGTTAGCTTGGTTCCACCCATCCTTTTCAGAGCTGCTGCAACAAAATGATTGTTACGGAAGTGTTTAGCAATTTCAACAACATTAGTCTTTATTTCTGGAACACTTAAGTCTTTGGCTAAGTGGTGCAGCAAATGAGCATTGCAACCATATGTTATTAGCTTTGTATTCCCTTCCTGCTCTTCTAAATTTCTTCTCATCTTGGATACATTTGCAGCATTGTCTGTGACCAAACTGCGTACTAGACATTTGAATTTTTGTTCACATGTTATTATAGCTTTTACTGCCACTTCTTGTAAGTATTCTGGTGTGTGTGCATTTCCTGACGTATCAATTGTTTGTGCAAGGAAGACTTTCCCTTCTTCTGTTGTTATATAAGCACATACAATAGGATCATTATGGACATTACTCCACCCATCAATACTTAGGTTAACAATTCTACCCTCCAGAGCTGTTGCACATTGCTCCATTTCTCTGTCATACACTTTATCCAGCAGTTTTCCTGCAACATCTGCTCTGCTGGGTGGACTGTATCCTGGTCTCAGTGACTGAACCATATTAATGAAATGTGGGTTCTCAGTCAGATGGAAAGAAGAGTTCATTGCATAAACAAACTGGGCAATTTTTTCATCAATTAATTCTTTTTCTAATCTGCTAGTTTTTATCACAAACTTATCTATGGTGGTTTCAGGAGGGAAGGGTTTTTTCTTTCTTTTAGGTGATAGTGATATGTGGCTGTGGGTGTGGGTGTCTGCTGATGATGATGCTAATGAAGCACTATCCTGGATGGATAACTCTGAAATTGTAGAACAGGAGGATGGTGATCTTGAAGGTGGATTGTTTCCAGAATCCATGAATTCCCCTAAACAATTTCTGCTTATTCTACACAGCACTGCCCCAAAAGGAATATTTGCTTTTCTTCATAACTGTACCAAATGACAGTAACATGCAGTAATAATAAGAAATATAATTTTGCTCAAACATGACAGCTCAAGGCAGTCTTTAAAAATATGATTCAATAAAAATGTTTACCAACCTGAAGATCCTGCCTGTTCAAATGTGTTTCTTTGGTCATCTTCATCACAGCACTTCTCATGATGTTGCCTCATTTGGGCCACCAGGCCTTGCATTTCTTTGTTGCATTGTTTGCAGTTTGCATGCATGCCTGCCTTACCGATAGGTAAAGGAACTTCATTAAAATATTGCCAAACTGGGTCTCTTTTATGGCCTGCTGCCATTATAGGTTTTTTCCTCCAAGGAAAGAATGTGATAAACCTCAGGTCATACACACAAAAAGATCCAAAGACTTGTCTGTCTGTGCCTGTGCAGTATTGTGCTCAGAAAGTTTCATTTTCATTTTGTACTGCTTATCTGCTTGCCCCTTCCTCCTCGCACTTAGTTTCACTTTCTTCTTGTGCAGATCTATTCCACTCCAAACAATCAGAAAAATATTGTTTCTATTCTATTCACTGAACTTCTTGAAACTTAGCACTGAAGGGGTTGATTCTGTATTCATAGGTTTGTAGAACAATAGGATTAAGGTCTTTTTCTCAACTCTGTTCATGTTATAACATTTTTGCTGTGAAGAAGAGGCATGTGATCTCTGCTGAGTCAAATTCAGTTTTGAGAACTGCAAAAGTAAACCAAGCATCTGTGATAATATCTTGTAGGCAGAGAAACTGCCCAATAATCTTACAAAAACCTCTGGAAGAGCATGACATTTTGAATGGATTAATGGAATTTATTTACCAAAAAAATTAAACATATAAAGCTTTATTTTATATAATTAAAAAACTAATCTTTATTTCATGAAGGAATAACCTTTAGATGGTAATATATTTTCCTCAAAAAGCATTTTATTAAAAAAAAATCCGATTTAAATCAAAAAAATCTGATTTAAATCAAAAAAATCTGATTTTTTTTTATTTTTTAAAAAAAATCATTGATTTTTATCCACCCTGCTTACTTGTATCCAAAAGTCATGGGAACCTAAAGTGGAAAAAGTTATAGAAAATGAGAAGGTGAAGTTCTTGTGGGACTTTCGAATACAGATGGATTGTCATTTGGAACACAACATGCCAGATATCACAGTTGTTGAAAACCGAAACATACAATTTATTGACATTGCGGTACCAGGAGATGCCAGAGTCAAAGAAGAAGAACTGGAAAAAATCATGAAATATTGTGACCTGGCCATCAAAACTTCATGGCTATGGATGAAACATGTAACAGTAATACCCATTGTCATTGGGGCACTTGGTACCATGTCCAAGAATTTTATAAGATACATCAACAAATTGCAGCTTCCTGCAATAATGCCAGCAGAACTGCAAAAAACTGCGCTACTTGGAACATCGTACATCTTAAGAAGGTACTTGGTTAATACCTAGGACGCTGGCAGCAACCCATATCAACCATTAGCATCAATCAATGGTATTTGTGATGCATTTTTGAATGTTCAGTTGACTGAGTTTCATGTTTAATGAATAAAGTAAATAATAATGATATGGCAAAGGCAAGCAAGGGTAGTATCAATAGTAATAGGCACCTTGGGAGCAATCCCAAAACAACTAGAGCATCACTTGAACACTATCGGCATTGACAAATTTGCCATCAGTCAATTGCAGAAGGTGGCTTTATTTGCTTTAGCTTCCATCCTGCGACGATATCTGTCAAACATCCAGATTTGCCTATCCCAGGTGCTTCATAAGGACTTGATAAGTAGACAGAAATGCCAAACCTAGTCTGAACATTTGGCTGACTGTGTAATGATCAATAATGATAATAAATGATAATGATAACAACAACAACAGTAGTAGTAGTAGTAGTAATAGTAATAATAGTATTTCGTGGTTGAAAATTTTGCATTCTGTTCTTTGAACATGCTAGGTGAAGGAATAAGAGTATATTGTTCAGGCTGGTGAGGGAAAGGTGTTTGACACTAGTTCTTGACTCCATCTGCTCTTGATGTAATAAATGCTTAGGTTATGATTAAGACGGAAATGAGGAAATTAGACACAGCAGACCATTTTTACTGAGTTTGGTGAATTAAAGCATCATTTTGCCCTTTAAATTTCTTTCCAATGAAAAGAAAAAGAAATTCATATCTGGCCACAGTACACAGGAAGAGGGGTCTAAACTGGTTTCTAAAGAACTGGATGGGACCCATAATTTGCTGCTCCCACTCCCATGGTAGTTGTCTTCTCCTAAGCCGTGTTTGGCAATAGTCTCAGAACCATGCAATATTTTCCATCAATCATGGCTTTTTGCGTCTTCTCCAAGGCCGCTACTCTGGACTACACCAGATGTTGCTAGGTAAGAAATCTCTTTCTGACTTAGTTGCTTTCCACCTGGATTGCTGAAATATGGTGTCCTTGATGCCAAAGTGAGCTTCAAGGACCCAATGGGATTGGAATCAAAGCTAGCTGAGAGCTGCAGTGGAACTGAGGGACACCAGATTGGGAAATGCTGCCTTAAAGCATTGTGGGAAATTCTCTCCCCCATCCCCCAATAGGAGATTATCTGCCAGATTCCCACATACACACTGGACTTATAAACTTCATACAGTACTTTTATCATTACTACCACATAACTTTTATTTAGTATATGAGGTAAAGGTAAAGGAGTCCCTGCAGATTTTACTCTGCTAGTCATTGCTGACTATAGAGGGTGGTGTTCATCTCCATTTTAAGGCCATTGGGCTAGCGCTGTCCAAAGACATTTCTGTGGTCATGTGGCCAACATGACATCACAGAGCACTGTTACCTTCCCCCCCGAAGTGGTACCTATTTATCTACTTGCATTTGCATGCTTTCAAACTCCTAGGTTAGCAGGAACTAGGGCGTGGATCGGAGCTCATCCAGTCACAAGGAGCTTGGATTTCGAACTTGATGACAAGCCCAGCATCTTAACCTCTGAGCCACCACAAAGCTCCTCTGTATATGAGGTTCCCTTTGGATCAGGGGTGTCAAACTGGTGTCAAACACACATCACATGCAGGCCACGCCTACCCAAGCTCATCAAAGGCAAAAAAGTCAAGATAGTTATGATATGTCACGTGATGCGATCATGTTTGACACCCGGGCTTTGGATTCATTGAGAAAAACAATAGTAATGGAAGGAGATTTTTCTTTCTTTTTAATTGACAACCATTCTTCAGTGTGAGAATTGGCTCAAATTCACAGTTTCCCAGCTGAGAGCCAGGCAAATACTTGTAGAGGACATAAAATGTCAATCTTGCTTCCACAAATGCCCAGGGCATTAATTGTAGGACCTAGGGAAGAGAGGACCTGACTACCAAATCCACTGTATCTGATATTTTTGGCGACCACATGACTCACTCTCAAGGCCTATTCTGGTCCCCATTGTGATTAATTACTTATGTATCTCTGAGCAACATGATAACTAAACTATGGATACAATTCCTCCCATTTCCTAAACATAGTTTTGCCAGCCATAGTATTGGTTCCTTTGCGGACACCATAACAGTTTTAAAAGTCTGCCATCACAACTAAGCCAAGCCAGCAGGATTTATGAACTGACGTAAATTGGCCTTGGCTACTTGGTGATTTCTCCCAAGAAAAAACAATACTCCTGTGAAGGTTTGCAGAAAGGTTGCTAGCAGTAATTTCTTACCTACAAGCGGTGGTGGAGGCATTGTTCACGTCAGATGAGTGGGGTAATGGATTTTAAAACTACAGGACAAGCTCCAGATGGTTCCAAGTCCTTCATCTGCTTAGAGATATGTGCCTTGGGGATTACTGTGTAGCCTTGCAAGAGTCCTTCTTCCTATGTAATCCACCTCACAGGGTTATTATGAGGTTAATATGAGCTGTTTACTTTGCTGCTCTGAGGTCTCTGGCAGAAGGTAGAAATGCAAACATGAAGAACAAAATCATGATGATTATCATTAGTCCCTCCTTGCAGACCTCCTGAAAGATAACCTGTGGGATCGATAAGATCAGTTGAAGTTGCATCTATCAATATTACCAGCACCACAACACATACTCAAGATCCATAATTCTCAAGACTTCCCCTTGGCCCTCTAGGGATAAAATTCTGCAACTATTGTTCTCGTGCTTACTAAAAAAAAGCAGTACATTTATGTCACCAAAATTATTATCTATTTGAGGCAGACAAATCATTCTAATTAATGCCAGGGCCAAATTAAGTCCATAATACTGTTACTTTTATCAGTGCTGCTCAACCATAGCAAATTAAGAGGTGTGGAAAAGCCATCATTCATCCTCAAACAGTATAAAATGGGAAGCTTCATGCAGCCCCAATTAATTTCTTGTTACTTAACTGTTAAAATATTTAAATTTAATAGCTGGAATAGTGGGGTTCTACAATGAGCCAGAACACACAATTATAGTTGATTGGTTGGCGAGTGCTGGATCCTGCATGTGGCAATCTGCACTGTGATTGGTTGCTGTGCGTGTGGAGGGGTTGTTTCCCTTTCCTCCCACCTTTTTCTTTTGCGTGCTCTGCGTACACTGTGATTTACCTCATGCTGCTCCTGTTTGCCTATCTTGCTTGCTGTAAATATAGATGTACATATATATAGTTATTTATATAAAACTAAAAGTTCATGTCAGGTCTCTGACTTTATTTGGACATCTGCTGTACAGGCCCAAAAATGCCTTGAAGTGCCAATAGTAAATTTCTCTGAGGTAAAAGTTTCTTCGTGATCCTGAGGGAGATTGAAGATGATTGGCTTATAAAGACAGCATGATGCTATCTGTTACAGAAATGGGAGGAGGATTTCCTTTGGCTTGATTTAATGAGACAAATTATCTTAAATGGAGGTTAAAAATGGAGATGTTTCTGTGGAGGGAGGATTTGTGGACAGTTGTAAGCAATCTTCCAGAACATTTCAAAGAGAAACAGCAAAATGAAAAAGGACTAGCTAGCACAATTTTGTGCTTGGAAGATAGTCAGGTATAATAAATGTGTGTGGGCTAACATCTGCTAGAGAATGCTGACTTGCTGTGTGCAGAATTTATGTAAGCGAGACAGCAAGCAGCAAAGTAAGTCTCACAGAAAACTTTATAGAGCAAGACTAAAGTCTGGAGAAACTTTGTCAGATTACCTCCAGTTCATGAGGAAAACTTTCTTGAATTAGAAGAGTGAGGAGGGTGTTTTCAGAAGTACACAAAGTGTATGCTGTGCTTAGTTCCCTTGATGTTACTTGGGACATGTTAGTACCAAGCCTTGAGTCCATGGACAAGAATGATTTAACTATGAATTATATAACTGGGAGGCTTTTGCAGCAAGAACAGAAAAGATTTGAGAAAAATGTGCATGAGATAAACTATAGTAATTTACAATTCAGTCAGAAAGGAACTGCATTCAAGAGAAATAACAAGGCAGAAGATAAAGTCTGTGTAATGGAAACACTGCTTTGCATTTGGATCCACTCAACATATTAGAGAAATTGCTCAGTAAGACAATTAAAAGATACAAACAGGAGAGAGACAACACAACAACAGAAGAAGGAAGATACAGATTTCTGTGGGAAAGGCAAACAACAAAGACACTAAAGATATTTGGTTGTTGGACAGTGGGGCAAGTGAGCATATTCTAAATAACCCAGTTCTATTTTCCAGTTTGGGACCAGCTGCCCAGGAATATGTAAACCTGGCAAATGATCATCATTCTTTTGTACAGGGGCAAGCATCAATATGTATCATGTATTAGTAAGTTGTTTGATAAGGTTTCATGTCTACCAGATTCAGATCACAATTTGCTGAGTGTGTCTTGTTTAACAATGAAAGGTATGAACTAATTTTTGCAAAGGGTACATGCAAGGTCATAGAGAATAACAGGTTGTGTACACAAGGTTTGAAACTAAACAATTTATATGTTTTGAATCACAAAGAAACTGGTGGCAATATGCAATCTTTTCTAATGAACCAAACCATAATGGGTGTGCACATTTATTACACAGAAGACTGGGTTATGCAAGCTTTAAAGTATTACAGAAAATGCCTGACTGTAGGTTTGAATGTAAAATTTGTGACAACTACAGGTAGTCCTTGATTTGCAAAGTTCATTCAGTGAGCGTTCAAAGTTAGAACAGCACTGAAAACGGTGACATGGCTGTTTTTCAAAGTTACAACTTTTGCAGCATCCCTGTGATCATGTAATCAAAATTCAGATGCTTGGCAATTGACACATATTTATGATGGTTGTAGTGTCCTATGGTCATGGATTAACTTTTGCAACCTTCTGACAAGCAAAGAGGGGAAGCCAGATTCCTTTAACAAACATACTACTGCAGTGATTCACTTAACAACAGTGGCAAGAGAGGTTGTAAAATGGGGCAAAATTCACTTAACAAATCTTTCACTTAGCAACAAATTTTGGGCTCAATTAGTTGAGGATTACTTGTATTTGGATTATTCAATTTGTAAAGAGACCGAATCAAAGGTATATCCTGTCAGAAAAAGAAGTTATAGAAAATCTGATAGGATTTTTCAGTTACTGCATGCTGATTTAATTGGCCTCTATTTCCATCAATGGGAAGGGCCAAATTTGCTTTGGTAATTGATGATTTCTCAAAATATGGGTTTTGTTATTTTTGTTGTTAGCTACGAAGTCATGTCCAACCCATCGTGACCCCATGGACATTCCTCCAGGCCTTCCTGTCCTCTACCATCCTCTGGAGTACATTTAAGATCACGCTGACTGCTTCAGTGACTCCATCCAGCCACCTCCTTCTCTGTCGTCTCCTTCTTTTGCCCTCAATCTTTCCCAGCATTAGGCTCTTCTCCAGTGAGTCTTTCTTTCTCATTAGGTGGCCAAAGTATTTGAATTTCATCTTCAGGATCTGGCCTTCTAAAGAGCAGTCAGGGTTGATCTTCTCTAGGACTGACCAATTTGATCACCTTGCAGTCCAAGGGACTCGCAGGAGTCTTCTCCAGCACCATAGTTCAAAGGCCTCAATTATTTGGTGCTCAGCCATTCTTATGGTGCAACTTTCACAGCCCTACATTGCAACTGGGAACACTATAGCCTTGACTATACACACTTTTGTTGGCAGGGTGATGTCTCTGCTTTTAAGTACAGTATGTTGTCTACATTTGCCATAGCTTTCCTCCCCAGGAGCAAGCGTCTTTTAATTTCTTGGCTGCAATCCCCATTTGCGGTGATCTTGGAGCCCAGGAAAATAAAATCTGTCACTACCTCCATTTCTTCCTCATCGGTTTGCCAGGAATTGAGAGGGCCTGATGCCATGATCTTAGTTTTCTTAATGTTGAGTTTCCAGCCAACTTTTGCACTCTCCTTCTTCACCTGCATCAAGAGGCTCTTTACTTCCTCTTCACTTTCTGCCATTAGAGTGGTATCATCTGCATATCTGAGGTTGTTATTTCTCCCGGCAATCTTAACTCCAACTTTTGATTCATCTAGCCCCGCCTTTCTCATGATGTGCTCTGCATATAAGTTAAATAGGCAGGATGACAGTATATAGCCTTGCCGGACTCCTTTTCCAATTTTGAACCAATCAGTGGTTCGGTGTCCAGTTCTCACTGTTGCTTCTTGACCCGCATATAGGTTTCTCTTAAGGCCCATTTGACTCACATTTTAGGATGTCTGGCTCTAGATCAGTGACCATCCCATCATGGTTATCAGGTACGTTAAGCTCGTTCTTGTATACTTCTTCTGTGTAATTTTGCCATCTTTTCTTAATCTCTTCTGCTTCTGTTAGGTTCCTGCCATTTTGGTTCACTATCATGCCCATCTTTGCATGAAACATTCCTTCCGTATCTTCAATTTTCTTGAACAGATCTCTGGTCCTCCCTATTCTATTGTTTTCTTCTATTTCTTTGCACTGTTCATTTAAGAAGGCATTCTTATCTCTTCCAACTATTCTCTGGAATTCTGCATTCAATTGGCTGTATCTTTCTCTTTCTCCCTTGCCTTTCGCTTCCCTTCTTTCCTCAGCTATTTGCCAAGTTTCCTCAGACAGCCATTTTGCTTTCTTGCATTTCTTTTTCTTTGGGATGGTTTTAGTTGCTATCTCTTGTACAATGTTGCGAACCTCCATCCATAGTTCTTCATTGGATATAGCCACTGGGTATACAAAAACGTAAGGATCTTGTGAAACAACTTGGTTTAAATGTTGTCCAACTATAAATTGGAGGGGCATTAAGATATTTAAATTTAGTAGCTGGACGAGTGGAGCTGTACAATGAGCCTGTTAGGTGTTTGTGCCAGCCATGGCAGTTTCTTAAAAGGCCACCAGATGGGAGCAAAGAGGCACTTTTGATCCACTGGTGGGTCAAGGGGCTCTGGCCCCTGCAGCCCCATTGGGGAGAGTTAATGGCCCTCCGGCCCTCTCACACACATTGGTAAGGGAGGGGCCAGGGACCCTATAAGAACCCCTGCACAGGGGCTGCTCTTTGGCTCTTGTTCTAGCTTCCTACGGGACTGATCCATGGGCTCAATCCAGGCATGGATGCCTCCATGCCAGGGAACTCATTTTACCTACTTTATTCCTAAATAAAGATTTAACTTGATTGCATCCTTGCGTGCTGACTTTTCTTGGAAGTGCCCACAACGAACCATCGATCTTCGTGAGATCCCTCACAGAGCCAGAACACAGTTATTGTTTGGTTGGAGAGTGCTGGCAAACTGCACTGTGATTGGTTACTGTGGTGCTTTCCCAACTTTTTCTTCAGTGTGCTCTATGTGCTCTGATTTACCTCATGATGCTCCTGTTTGTCTATCTTATTTGCTGTAAATATAGATATAAATATATATTTATTTATAAAACTGCAAGTTTGTGTCAGCGACTCTGTCTTCATTTGGACATCTGCTGCATAATTCCCTGACATTTACTATTTAGGTCTGCAGGTCAAAATTGACGTGACTGTGCATTTGGTGATGCTATGCGTCACCCAGTAAAATCTTCCTGTCACCT